TACTGAACTTACCTTTCTTAAAATAAGAAGGTCCCGAAGTCGTGATGACCACGGTATTATTCCAGTTGCGCTAGGCCAAGATCCTTTGGACTACCTATCGTTCATTGACAAGTGCGACTTATACATTAAGCTGAAGTCGTCTAGGGAGACCGACTTACACCAGTCATTCTACTCGATGCTTACCTCAATTCAACTACAGTCTTATCTCGCATAAATGAGATACCTCAAACAGATAAAATAGACAAATGTGACCGCTTCCTTCACGAGCTCACCAGCGTACCGTACCAGGATCGTAAGGACAGAAACCGTGAACGAATAGAAGGGACCTACGAATGGTTCGCAAATCATGAGACATTTCGAAAATGGCGATGCGGCCAAACCTTGAGCTTACTCTGGGTATCCGCAGATCCAGGATGCGGGAAATCAGTTTTGGCAAGGCATTTGGTGGATAATGTCCTTCCAACTACCGATACGAGATCCACATGTTACTTCTTCTTCAAAGACGATTTTGAGGACCAGAGGGGTTTAGAAGGCGCAATGCGCTGTCTATTGCATCAACTCTTCCTCCAGAAGCCTGCTCTTCTTACCGATGAAATTGCCGACAAATTCACCCGTGACAACCAACTTTTCTCTTCCTTCTCTAATCTTTGGGATATTCTTACGGATATTTCATGCCGTGATGGTGCTGGAGAGATCATTTGCATTCTCGATGCCCTAGATGAATGCGAAGATACTGACCGCCTAACGAAGGCCTTGGAGAAGCTTTACAAGGATAGACCAGACAATGCCTCCCTCAAATTTCTCTTAACCAGTCGACCATACAGTCATATTCGACGCGGATTCCAACTCCTTGAGAACCAGTACCCCAAAATCCACTTAGATGGAGCGAATGAAGTTAAGGTAGATAAGATCTCAAGGGAAATTGATATTGTCATCAAAACCAATGCGAAGGAAACCGGCGAACGTCTTAACCTCGAAGCTGGAGAAATGCAATTTCTTGAAAACGTACTTACCAGTATCCCACACCGAACTTATTTATGGGTTCACCTTGTTTTTGACGTTATAAACAACAGCGAGGGAATTACAAAAGGACACTTGAAAGCAATTGTTCACCAACTTCCAGAGACAGTTGAGGCAGCATACGAGAAAATTTCATAGAAGCGCCGATGTTACGAAAGCTAGAAGACTTCTTCATGATGTCGTTGCAGCAGAGAGACCACTGTCGTTGCAGGAAATAGCAATAGCGCTGGCTATCAGAGAAGAACACGAATCCAACAGCGAACTCGAGTTCGAGCCATAACATCGCTTCCGCAATACGATCAGAGGGCCTTGCGGGCTCTTCGTTGCCATCGTACATTCTAAAATTTATTTGTTACATCAAACAGCGAGAGAATTTTGGGGTTACAACTCGCCAAAGTTCATTCTCGCCAACCTCAAATGGCAAAACTCATCCCATCCCCCAGAATCACATTGTACACTTACAGAGATATGTATCACTTACCTTTGCTTTCCAAAACTCAAGGATCCAGGCGAAGATAGCCTCCGGGTCTTTGTGGATTGTGCCGCAAAGAACTGGCCCGCTCACTTCCGTAGGGCCTCTAATCAGAATACGGAAAAGATAGTACGTTGTGCAAAATCGCTTTGCAATAGAAGCGAGCAAAGCTATAAAGAGTGGTTCAAAATTTACTGGAACGCGTATCAACGAGGCGAGGTCCCGAATAGATTTTCTTCGTTAATGATGGCATCATTTTTGGGACTAGAGGATGTTGTTTGTATGCTATCAGAAGAGAGGGGTCCGGACTTCGACACACAATGCGACACACGTGTCCAATCTGCGTTATGTTGGGCTTGTTTAGAGAATCACGAGGAAGTTATGAGGATTCTCTTAAGCTTCGACACTGGGAAACGGCGCAGGATTTTTGGAAATCAATATCCCAGTCTTAATCTAGAAGATCGATATGGCAAACTCCATTATATGTAGCAGCACGTAGAGGTCGTGAAGGAATAGTAAAATTATTACTTCAAAAGGAGGCCGACGTTAATTCGAAACCTAGGCGGCACGAGTGGCTGGTAACGGCGGTGGCGAAGAGACTCTATATGTCACTACTCGGAAAAGGAGCTAAACAATATTTCTCTGGCTTAGAAAACGAGATGCTTTTGCTGGCGGCGGTAGCTCATGGCAACGAAGAATCTGTACGACTATTGATTGAAAAGGGAGCTAAGATCGAAGTCACCCACCCAGTAGAGTCAGTGGGGTGGATGGGTTCGGTATCCAAAATCCACTATACATCAGTGTTGTCAGTAGCAATAAGATACGGCCGCAAGACTATAATACGGCTTCTACTCGAAAAGGGGGCCAAGATTAGACCCGAGGATGAATTAGCAGCAAAACAAGGTGGGCACGAAAATATATTGCAGTTACTCGAGGAGGCTAAGACTATGTAATTTGACAGCATATAACCTAAGGCCGCGTATAGAAAATTCAATATTGAGCAACTTTTTCACGGCTGCTTGATCTCCGACTGGTTTGGTATGATATACTCTCTGCCAGAATCTTTGATGTTTCTTATCTCGTACGGCCGCATCATTATACTAGAGGCCTGCTGGGAAGAATATCTAAATCATCACAAGCCCAGCTGTCGACATATATTTCTCAAGCTCGATCAAGGCACCGTGAACCCCGATAGCATGTACAACTTCATCCTGCTTACCATTGTTGGTAACGGGCCGTTGCCATATTCTCGATATCAAACGGCACGGGGGTGGAATATGATTGGCCAAAGAGACTGACTCCAGGGGTTCCAACCAACTTGGAGCGCCATCGGAACCTGGTGTTCTTTGAGTCCCGATATGCTAATAAGCAGACATGTCGTCAATGTCTGTTGTATATTAGAAGAGGTGTCTGCTTCGAGAGAAGAGCTTGAATAACATTTTCTATGACTAAACGAGTGCGTGTGTCGATATTTATTAACTCGACAGAAGCTACTCCCACGTATAAGTGCTGAAGCCAAGCCACACACCTCCTGAGCTTGGAGACAAAATGCATGAAGGGCTGAGATATTTGGCTGACTATTCCATGCGTAAATATATACTATAGGCAGGATAGAGTCAGCCTCGACTGCCCGTGATGCCGCTTATCATATTGCGCCCCGTGGATGCATTATGTATGTAGAGCTGCAATATGGGAGAGGGTGAACTTTAGGTTAGCAAAAGCAGTTAAATGACCACGACGAAGATATTATTCTTAAGTGTCTTAATAGATCAACGACTACTAAGTCATAAATAGTATTATCAAAGTTATAATCACTTGGGGAAAGACAAGACTATACTATATACCACCAATTAGGTATATTACTCCCTCCGCTACAAAACATCTATTAGTCCAACCAATTAAAGGCTAAAAGCACGCATTAGAGACTTGCTTAATTAGACATTGCCATCCTTTCATACATGACAAATAAAACAGCTTACTAGTGCTGGCTTTCGCCTTCTCGCACCCAGGAGTGACTAAGGATAGCCTCTAAGATTATAAGAAGGTTATTCGAGGCTTGAAAATCACTATAAAAATATATATTGTAACGATGTTTAAAAATACTTCGCAATAGGTAGAGAGCCTACCTGTTCGGGAGTACTTCGGATCAAATCTTTGGTCTTGCCTGTTTCTTTAGTTACCTCCTATGTGCAACCCCTTTTGGGTGCGAGCAGGCGAAAGCCAGCATTAGTGCAACACCAAAGACTCTTAAGTTAGTTATAATAATCCAATATGCCCCCACCGTGGGCTTTAGTATGAAGAACTAGGTATACTCACTATAGATAAATTCTGTCAAAATTCCCTATTAGTTTATTTCGATCAACCCGAGGCCACAATATCTCACAGACTACTAAAGACTTTGATAGGTATAAAAGACTATATTTATCATGAGTATAGTCTTGTTAGTGCCGTTACTTCATTTGGATATTTCCACCTTTTCTTTAAATATATGATACTCCATGTTATATTCCACATAACTGTATCTGTTGGCAGAATGTCATAGTTATATTTATATACCAGACTGGACAGAATTACATGATATTTCTTTTTCTCACTTTTGCGCCAGTTGGGAAACGAGCTTATGAAAAGAGTATGTTAGCAAGACTTAACCTAAACCTTGTACTTCAGTATCAACGCTTTTTGGTTTGTTTACATACGAAAAACGTCTTTCTGCTTTACGTTTTTCGGTATTCTGTCTTGTGTCTTTCTATTTGATAGATGTATTAATATACCTGCGAAAAAAAGTAAAGCAGAAGACGTTTTTTGGTAGTTATTCTGTTTGGCGTCTTTTTATTTGCTAGAAATATATTAATGTACCTACAAAAAAGCGTCTTTCTGTTTTCTGCTTTCTGCTTTCTGCTTTCTGCTTTCTGCTTTACGTTTTTTGGTATTCTGTCTCCTGTCTTTCTATTTGACAGAAATACATTAATGTACCTACAAAAAACGTCTTTCGGTTTTACGTTTTTTGGTATTCTGTTTCGTGCCCTTTTATTCGATAAGAAATATATTAATGTACTTACGAAAAAAGGTGCAAGAGCGTGGCGTGGCGTTGCGTGGTTGGGCGTGAGGTCATCTCAGCGTTGATTCGACAGCAAAAGGGCCAATCTTGTCAAAGAATATGCACGAAGAGAGCCTCATTGTCAATTGTCATTTCTGGAATTCGGAATTTCGAATTCTGAATTCTCGATTCATTGTATACCTATATACTATTACCATTTACGGTTTTTGGTAATTGGTGCTCTACGGAAAATCGTAGTTGTCAGTTGTTAACATCGCCCCTATATAGTTAATCCTAATAAAACTTCGGCTTCATGTCTTCTTGTCATAAACGATTAATTGGATTATCATGGAATATGTGTTCCAAATATCTTCGGTATATCACAATCTTGACGTTTACTTCTAAACTCATATTATAGGCTTGTTGTGTTTACTAGGTACTGACTTATATAAAGTCGCTGACAGGTCAACAATGCCTAGCAACTCAAATGTACCACCTCAACGACGCCTTCGCTTGCTTGCCCTTGGTGAGTTCCTATGTTTAGTTACCTATCCAACCGCAAGCTAGACAGCCAAACAGAGCTAACAATAATCGTCGTAGATGGAGGTGGAGTCAGAGGCCTCGTTAGCTTGCTCATATTGAAGAGATTGATGCACCTTATTAACCCCAAAGAACCGCCAAAACCCTGTGATGTTTTTGATATGATCGTTGGGACAAGTACTGGCGGTCTCATCGCAATAATGTTGGGAAGGCTTGTGTGTACACCCCTTTTCCGCTTTCAAGTGTAGTGCTTACTGATGTTTTTTAGAGGATGGACGTGTCATCATGCATCGAGGCATACACTGACATGTCTAAGGATGTCTTCAAGATCTCATTATGGACGAAGATCCTAGGCCGTACCTTCTTCAATATAATTGGAAGGGCAACGTTTGATTACAAAGTACTTGAAGACAAGATCCGTGGCTTGGTACAAGACCGTCTTAGGGATACAGACGCAGCCCTGCTCGAGGAGGACCCTGAGTGCAAGATGTAAGCTATGAGTACTCGGGCCGTCCGTTCATATCTGGAAGAATGCTTAAATCTAGGTGCTAGGTTTGTCTGTGCCAGCATGTCGAACGCAGACACGCGACGACTAAGGAACTATCATTCTAGTATCGAGGAGGCCTCGAACTGCCGCATCTGGGAAGCAGCACGGGCAACATCAGCAGCGCCTACTTTCTTTGACCCTATCACCTTCAGCAGCGGTTGCACATTTCGTGACGGCGCGCTTAGGAGTAACAATCCGATATTCGAGCTTGTCGATGAAGTCCAGACCGCATTTCCGGATCTAGAGGTATCCTGTATAGTCAGCATAGGGACGGGAATACCGGGCCCTATAACCTTAAGAAATAGCCTTATGTCGGTAGCTAAGGCCTACGCGAAGATCATGACAGATGCAGAACATGTGGCTGAACAATTCAAGAAGATATATTGCTCGCCTGATGCTGGATTTAAGGGCAAGTACTTCCGTTGTAGCCCTACAGGTATAGGGGACGTGAGGCTCGATGAGTGGGAGAAGGTGGATGTCATGATAAGTAGTACCGAATCTTATCTACAAAAAATGGCCGAAGACCTCAAGGATTGTGCGACGCACCTCAGATGAGAACAGATCGAATGTACCAATGTATGAAGTGGCAGTGGTGGGAATATGATAGGTAGGTATGGATCTAACTCGGCGGGGTGGATCATGTGATATAGCCCAGCTATTAATTGCTTATTCAGCATATGTATGGGATTCAATCCGCTCTCTTCTAAATAAAGCGGGTACCGGTAAATCGTCTGCGGTGGTGGGGCAGAGAGCGGCAAGCGGTTACATTCGACAATTACTAAAGTATACCTAGGTATGGAAGGAACTAGGTAAAAATATACGTATTAAGTTGTTAAATTATTTAACGTGACGATAAGGAAATCCCAAGTTCCAGTCTCTAGATCCTATGGTGGTACATGAAAGAGTTAAGACACTTAGTGTAGTTAGTATAGTTAGGTAATTATTCATACATTACTATAAATTAAGACTCTATAATCTTCTAATTCGATATAATCATCATACATAGTAATACAAGATTTCAATGCCCTTTAACCTGACCTTTTAAAGCTTACCCCCAGCCGGCATTGCCGTACGGTCTATCAAACATATGCGCCATGCTTCTTTAACCAGACCTACTCAGCGTACACCAACTGCTCCAAGTCAACATATATTCATGTCATCACGCAAGGGGAAAGACCACGACAAATGAGTACGCTAATGAGAATCTTCACTCTTGGCTTGGATAGAAAATGAAACAATTGCCATGCGTGCAATGTGCTGTATTGTGGAGACATCACCGCTCCGTCGCGGATCATACGGATCGAACGGCTCTTTCGTCGCTGGTAAATGCCAACCTCCAACCCCCATGACACGAGACGCCAAGGCAAGCCTCAGAATTTGGACTGAATCGCCTATCTAAAATGCTCTGAATCCGAGTCCTCTAATGAACAAACCGGATCATAGCTATTACATTCGCCCTTAAAGACGTGCTAACCGAACGAGCGAACGTAGAGGGGAAAAAAAACACAGCTCAGCCGCCCAGTTCCTTTTCCCTTCTTTGCCGCTGACCAGGAAAAATGCGAGTATGCTTCTATCCTTTTACATGGATGATAAGAGCCGCTTCTGTTAGCGCTCACTCGCAGTGCGCATGGCGCATGGCGCATCTATTACCTATCCTGTTTTGATGCCTGCGCGGTGGAATCCTGGTGCCGTGGTCCGAAGTATCGAGACTAAAATGTATACTGAAAAATACGAACTCGAGAATAAAAGCGAAATGCACGAAATCATAATTTTACCGGAACACCATGCAAGATGAAATGAAACCTGGGTCATGAAGAGCCTGACTGGTGCTTTGAATATGGCTGGTAGCGAAGCAGTCTTCTCGAAAAGGTGGCGAAGAACATCAGGGTCGTCATCTTCTGTAAAGTTGAGGACACCAAAGGGACGAAACAGCCCATAGCGATCGGTTATCGGCCTAACAATAGAAATTTCATCCCTTAGTCAAGAGACGGCGCTCGTGAAGAGCAGCATCACTTAGAGACCTTCTTCGCCAGCTTTGCAGAGCTTAATTTCGCGGCCCCATTCCGACTTGAGAACTTGCGATGCTGTGATACGTCGCGCAGGATTGGGATCTAGGATAGAGTAGATGACATTGCGACAACGAGCCTTCATGTTATTTGTTAGGATTATAGTAACCATAAGCTACTAGAAAATTGAAGGAGACTTACGCGGTGTAATGACTCGATTGGGCCATAGCCTTCTTCATCGCGGCGTCCTTCGAGGTACCGCTCGTAGAACTCATCCTCATCCTTCTTGGCAACGCGCCACAAGTGTCGTCCGGTTCGCATCGCCATATATATAACACCACAAGCCCAGACATCAACGGCACGAGCATCGAATTCTCTGTCGATGTATTCCTCCGGAGCGATATAAGGTGCAGAGCCGCATAAACCCGATACCATGTGAGCATCGTTTTCCCACGCCATTCTGAAGCATTCACCGTTGCCGAAATCCGTGATTTTTAAGGCACCATGGCTCGTTAGAAGTAGGTTCTCAGGCTTTAAATCGCGGTGTGCGACTCCCATCTCGTGTAGGTATTCAACGCCGCGCATCATTTGCTTGAAGTAACAATCGGCTTCTATCACCTCCAGCTTCCCAGCGGCGAGGACGAGCGTGTAGAGATCACCACCGGAGCAATACTCCATGACCTCGCAGTAGTCACCTTTTTGGTCCTTAAGTAGATCTAGTGTATGTATGACATTAGGGTGACGTAAAGAGGAAGATATGCAGAACTCTGCCGTCAGGCGTTTGCTATACTTTTTCTCCGTTTCCTCTGGCCGGCGGCGAAATTCCTTAACTGCAAAGAGCTTCTCTCCGTTCTCCATCTTCTTATGCGATATTCTTACGATGCCGAAAGCACCACGACCCACCACCTCTTGGCATTTGCCATACTTCTCGACTAGAGTAATGCTGTGGTTTGGACCTCCTCTCTTGTCGCTGGCCAGTGACTCTTTCTCCTGCTTAAGGGTGTCAACCCAACTGGAGACCAATGACAAATCAGCTTCAGCTGGCTGGTCTTGCTTTCTCCCAAGTAGAGACTTCCACATATCAGAGAGCTTCTCTTGTCGCTTGCTACCCTTGAGATGATGTTCATGGCCGCCGGGAACTTCTAGATTTACAACGAATCGCTGGTAGGGTATTGGTTTAGATGCGATAGGCGGATCAGCAGAGGATGGCTTACGAGCCGGTCCGCCCGGCTTTGCGGGCGTGCTAACACCAGTCTGACTGGGAGAAGGGCTCGGAACGATGCGCTTAGATGGTTGCGTCGTATCGACAAGGACGGATCTAGGCATCTCTTCCTTATTGGAAAACATTCGGGTTAACCTGTCCTTGATGGAAGCCTTCTCGGGTTGCTTCGGCTGAGCCTCGGCATGGGAGGCATCGCCAACGGGTTGGCCATTTTGTGGTCGTAATTTCGGAGATCGCGTGGAAAGTTCGACGGATTTTATGGAAGATTGCTTGGAGGCGCTGGGAGAGACCGTCTTTTCCGAAGCGCTCGACATCTCTGAAATCGGCATTGCGAGTTCGTTAACTAGGGCGGGACGTTGTAGTTATGGATCAAGTCTCGAATAGGAAAAAAGTGACTTGGCGACGGAGAAACGGCGTGGAGAGAGAGAAGGGTCAGTTCGGCGAATCGAGAAGGTTAGTTGGCGGCTCGAGGTCGCCTTGGTGGGCTGCGCCCAAGTGTTGGCGACACTAAAGACGGATTGCAAAACAGCTTTGATCGCGTTTGGGGGATTTTCGCAATAGGGAAGCGAGAATGAAAGAGAAATTAATTAGAAGCGGGCGGATGGCAATTTGTAGTTTCCAGTGACAGGAAAGTTAATAATCAAAGTAGGGCAAGAGTGTGGGGAGGCGAACTGGGCTACTGGAATACTGGAATACTAGTAGTGTGATACTAGTAGTTTAGCAGTTTAGCTCTAGGCGCTGCAGAGTTTAGGTCGTCCAAACTATTAAAAGTGGTTATGGTGCGGGTTTGCTGTTGCTGTTGGAGAGAGCTGCTGGAATCTGGAGACAGGCCCGGATATTCGTGTGGGTGGTGGATGGCGGATGGCGGATGGCGGATGGTGAATGGCAACGTGGGAGACAAGAAAAATAAATAAATAAGTAACTAATAAACAAGTCTCGAAATGTAGAATTAAAAAGAGGCTTTAAACGTAAGGTATTGTTTGTGTCTCCCTGATGAATAGCGAATAGCGTAGAATTGAATATTAGATAAAGTTTAAGCCTTGTCTTTTAGCGCCAATATCGAGTTCCAGTTGAGCAGGATGGTGTCTAGGTGATGTCGGTACAGCTGGCAGCTGGCTAAGCTACATCCATGTAGGTATCTTCTTTCGGTAACAGTAAGGGGGATCTAACGATGTAGCCGGTAGCAGGTAGCGGGTAGTGTGGGTAAGTCACACAGTAAGAAGGGAGAGATTTAAAGAAGAAGAAGAAGATGATGATGATAGTGATGACGATGATGGTTTGGTTTCAGTTTCAGTTCTAGTTCAAGGTAGGAGGAGCACGTCGCCAACGAGCCGATTTTGGACAGCAACGTTATGATGATTTTCTTATAGGCGAATCGATAGGAACCTTGGAAGGGTTCCAGCTAATGTTAGAGGAGGCGCGAGCGATGGCTAACTAAACTACGTTTTGACGAAGTGAAGACTGTCATTGTCAGAAGCCAGGACCAAAGGGAGTGTGCGCGGAGGACGGAAGCAGCTAGAATTAAGATTCGTGGGAAGCCAGGTTGAATCGATACAAGTGGAGAGAGGCCTCAAATAAACCAGACGGATTTTTTAATTTTTAATTCTAGGAACGAACCGATTGATTGTTGCTCGCGAGAAAGGAGGGCCAGAAAAAAGGGTATTGGACGCTCTGGGGTGTAGGTGATGTCAGGGTTTTGTATTCGTATCTGTCCGTATCTTCCATGTATGTATATACAATTGATACGCTTGCGTTATGCAGGGAAAATCAGCGAGGTAACTTTCCTACTATTAACTACCCAGGTATATGTTTATGTATGTGTGTATGTAAGTAGGTAAGTAAGGAAAGGTGAAGGTGATCATGTCTCTATGTAGTGTAGGTATGTAGGTATGACCAATACAGCGCGGGATGCATGCTAATGAGTGGGATGGTTTCTACCTTTCTGGCTGTCTTGCTGGCTGTACGGCTGTATGGCTACCTACATGTAGGTAGGTATGTACACAGTACTTTCCCGTTGCTGTTATACGTTGTATTTAACAGCTCACCTAAATTTTACTTTACGAAAGGCTTGTAGGCTATACATCGAGGTAGTCAGCTTTGACATTTCCTTACATGGATGTAACTTGCATTGCCTATTTGGGTACTGTACGTACATATGTACCGAAGACCAGTGAAAAACCCTGGGCTCAGCTGCGGGACGAGTGACGCACCTCAGATGCACAATACATGTATTGTCTAGCCCGTAAGTGAATATCATTTGGTAATTAAATATTAAATATTAATTGTAATACAAAACGCGACATTATATTGCTAACATAAAAGTTATATATCTGTACAAGCAACTGTAAGATGGTATCTCAAAATGAAAACTTGAAGATGTTGTTCCTTTCTATTTGGTTAACTAAGCTCTTAAAATCAAAGTTTTACCTGTTTGGCAATATACTCATGTTGTTGTGTCCGCGAGAGGGAACCCGAGGGACCCGTATCTTAGGTAGTACGTACCTAGGTATCTACCCCAGTATAAAGTGGTTACGCAAGAGGTCGCAACTACGATAGAAGCATCTGCACGTAACAGGAACTGCAGAAGCTACAATTGGTGGGCTTTCTAGGTAGTTCCCCAGTAGGCAATCTCGAATCTGCATGCGCAAGCTACATACCTTAAGGTAGGTACCTATGTACCTAGGTATAAATGGCTAGCCTTATTCGCATCTAAAATGAAAAGAGCATCGTGACACGATCCATCCCTTCCGAACCGTCCATCTAAGTCAATCTAATCATTTACTACCCATTTACTACCCTTCGACCTCTCATCACCCCCCCTAACCCCCCATCCTAAATAAGACGAAAGAGAAATAATATTCCCACACTCGCTTAATTAACTAAGGCATATGTTGCGTTGTATCGAGAATGCCACGAGGTCATCCAACCCGCCTAGTTGACAAAGAGCCTCATGCCAGATTAACAACGATTATTCCCGACTGACACTCTTGCTCCGATCTATCTCGTGAGCCCTGCTGCCTCCGCCCAGACCAGATAAATCTAAATATTATCATCGGTTTTATCGTTTCGTTTCGTTTCACCAAATAAAGACACTTTAGCTTTTCCCACTCATTAAGATATGTACCCTCTTTTCTTATGACGGAACCCATATGTCACGCATTTCTACCTTTTTTCTTTTATCCTGGTACTACTCTATATCTCATCCTCTAATTTTCTGTCTGACTACCGACTGTACATCAAAGGAACCTTATTCAAAATGGCACCATACCCACCTCGGAAGGACGACATCCTATCTAACTGATTGCAGTAGCTTACGGGAGCATCACAAACTGTTATCTGAGCGTTGCATGGTGATTTTTCTTCTTCTGCCGCTGACTACGTGTACTGGATGAGGCATTTCTCGCCCTCGACTAAGACTAAAAACCTAACAAGGAGATATTGGAACGACTAGATCTGGACCGCCTTCGTGCTGCAATCTAGCTCGGCTACGCCGCACTAAGACCACATATTACGAGTATCAATCGCCTTGAACTCGGCGCCATTCTAAACGCACAAAATAATCAATCCGGATACGCTCACCGCTACAAGATTGTCCCCTATACTACTACATAGCCTGCCGCTTCTCCGCTAGGCATTGCTTTGGTAGGTACAGACAGGGGAGCCCCAATACATATGCATCGATGATTTAGTAAAAAATGTCATAATTATTCCCTCTTTCCGTATTGTTACTGCACTGCTGCTTACAGAGCCTTGACTGCTGTTTGGTGGATCACTGTACATATTGCTATCCTTGCTGCTGTAGGCTAGTTATGAATTGTCGAAGGCTTTTTTTCTTCTTCATACTTACATACCTACCTAGGCAGCTTACAGCTATAGCTAACAGCTACAGTACATGCATAACCGAGTCGAGCACGAAAGCTTTCTCTTTTATGCGGGCCGGAGCTGTTCCACCCATATGCCAAGCTTTCCTCCCTTTCGCTCCCTTTCGCGCTCTTAGTTTTCTCTTTGGCCTATTATCACCCAGGAGGCCTCCAAACCGCCTCCACAGCAGCTGCATATCCGCTTATACGATTACATAAAATGGAGTGGATTAGGTAGATTTCCGCTCCGAATCGGTTCTGACATCCGGAAGTTTCCCTACATATGTGTACTACAGGTATATCGTAGGGCTACGGAGACTTGGCTCTCGACTAGATGAGATCTCAATTGGACCCAGGAGTTTGGGAGGGGTTGGCGAGTTATGACAGAAACTTATTCCGATCTACTCGGGAAATGAGATCTCGTGTGCGGCCTTTGATTACTGGAATGAGTGGCTCTTGGCCCCAATATGCAGCTATCGATGTCAACCACGATATTCCACTTCTACATACAGGAAAACATCGGGGCAATTCACATGGAACAGATTCCTAGCGGTTATCCCTCCGTTCGAATTGTCTTCCGGATTCATTACTGCTTTGGTAGCTGACGTCATGAATCTGGTTTTCACAATTTCACAACTTCACAACTTCACAATTTTACAATTTTACAATTTTACAATTTTACAATTTCACAAGCTTCTGTTTAAGCTTGTCCACATCTAACAAATTAGGATATCAATCCGACCAACGTACATATTTCAACCATCCTTGCGAATTAGTGCATATGGACACAAAACGATATCGGGAACACGCATTATCTGATCATCCCATCAGCAGCAACTGGACGTCTAATACGTCCCTGTCAAATGGCCGTTCCTTCATCTGCAACCATCCTGCGCGTCCCGCATCCGCGACGGCGCATTCGCAGGGAAAAGAAAAGGAAGAATAAGAAAAGGTAAAGGTAACATAACAATGAAATTCTTACATGTCCATCGACAAAGCCGAAGCGGACGGATTGTCAATGCCAAGGCTTTTGGCCACCATGCAATGAAGATCAGATGCCTAGATACCTAGAATCCCGATAACCACATGTCGCACAATGCGTTTTGTGCCGATCATTATGGCCATATTCGATGCTACTAACCTAATCTACGCCGCAAAGCAATACGGCTCCCCGTTCCCGACCTGAGCATCATACCAATTTTATACCGGTTCACTTTCTATTCACCATGCATCTCAGGTAATGATATTCAGGACTGCATATAATACATACCTACCGACTCCTGCGGTCGAGCTGGAAGCCTCCGAATTCGCATCTTGTGCCACACCGCTCGTACCGGGTAAGCAATGCTTTGAACTTGATGTTCTCCCACTCTTCTGCGGAGTGCTTAAAGAAAAAAGAATATTCATCGTCGACCGGTTAGATACGGGGTATCGAGAATAATGACGGGTACCGTGAAGGCGTACATAGTAAGAGGGCGCGTCTATCCGGTCTCCTTATCAATCAAGGCTCCTCGATATGTCGGATAGGGTTTCCATCTTGAGCCTGTTTAGGTAGTCATTATAACATCAGATGGTAACGTGAAAAGCAACCGGCCTTTGTTGTGCACCCACACGGCGCAATTAATTCAGACGAGATTACCGGGGAAATTATCGACTGGTTCTAGATGTTGGGGGTGCTATCCAGTCGCTTCGATCGTCACACGTATAGTATAGTGGCATCCCATGCCATCCCATGCCATTCACATACATGGAGAGACGGGAAAACCTGGGGATATACAACCATAGAACACCTCTTTGAGATGTCAAGGACCAGGGGACCAGAGGGGGCATTTCAGTCCCCTGCTAAGTCGTACGGTCGCTTAGTGGTGTCATATGCGGGATAGCTTTATATTGTACTTGCTATTTGGGGACAACGCCCAATCATCGGCGTAGCCATCCATGCGGGTTGCGGCTATCGCCTCAATAAATCCCTCGCCCCCATATCTATGCTAAAATATGTGCGGAACGCCGGTGTATCCTTACATACCTAGGTAGGTTTAAAAACGTGGGATATCGATGTTTCAGGCTGGTAAGGTAATCCCCGAAAGGTAAAGAAGTCTACGAAGGAGGTCAGGGATATAGAAAAGGGGGGTTTGCCGAGTCTTGTACGGTGGGAATATATCGTTAGCTGATTGACACAGCAGCAGCCTCCTAGATACATACGTTCAAATGTTGGCGTTTTCTTGCGACGGGCCGTTCCCACCCCGGTTATCAATTGCCGAAGCCAAGCAAGACAAGAATCAAGATTTCGAGTAAACGGGTCTGCAATCAGCGAGACAAAAAATAAAAATAAAAAGGGGCGCGGCGCCAAGGTCTGCACTTGGTTCGTTGGAATCACCGGCCGAAAGTGCCAGAAGAAGGCCAGGCTTGACGGGTGATCTAGAGTTGTCTCGCTTAACGGGACCGGCTTCTTTTATTATTATTTTCCCTTTAGGTGTGTGGTGCGGTAGTAAAGAAATCTGGGGTTAGGTTACCTCGAGAGGGTAGAGTAGGGCTTTGGAGTTGGTTACTTTCGAACTAACTAATTACCTAACCTACCTACCTACCTATACATATACAAACATGCATAGGCGGCACAGGACAAAAGAGGAGGAGTAGAAGCAGATGGAGGGAAACAGAGAGATGAAAAGGATTGCAATAGGAGGGACGGAGGGGATGTCTCCAGTCCCCAGTCCCCAGTCTCCAGTCTCCAGTCTCCAGTCTCCAGTCTCCAAAGCGCGAGGTGGACGATATCCCTAGGACTTACATGGTTGTAAGTCTTTTTCTAACAGACAAGCAAGCACACAAAAACAAACAACTAGACAGGTTTGACATATTTGCTTATCCCCCCCCCAGAATATCTACTAATGAAAAGCTAGATCGATCTTCATATCCCTCATCTCTATAAACAGCCTTGCCCCCTGTCAGTTACTATTATGAAACATCGGCGATGATAGCCAAACGGATGATTAGCGGTGTATGACCGCTTCAAAGACGTCCGTCAGCCTCGCCAACGTAGCCTACATTGTGTCTTCCTATTTTCTCAGCCTACTATATTCGTCAACTCATACACGTGCTCGAGATGTCGCGTTTTCTTTGGCCTGCCTACGTGCATTCCCTGCTGGTCGGCTGGCTAGTTGTCTTCCCTCCTCTTCCCTCCTCTTCCTTCCCTGTTGCCCTTCTCTTAAGTCAATACTATGTATACTGCGTATGCCATGTACAAGCACTGAGGTGTGGTGAGCTGAGCTGGCTTATTCCCGCGGTGAGGAATGCTGTCTAGGGAGACATCTGCATTCGGTACCAATATATCCATCAATATACCTTACCTATATACCAGCCTATACAGAGCATATATACACACATACCTACGCAGGAGCTCAACTGCTACATATGCAAGTAGGTTGAGCAAGTATTTCCCAAACCGGCAACGAGGGAACTCTCTGCAAGTAACGCGATGGTGTGCATGCCGTGCATATGCTACGCAGCACGTACGTATCATCACTCTGCCTGTCCAGGGGCTAGACACGCACACATACATACATACATACGGAGGAGAAGGGTAGGCGGGTGAGCAGGTGCGGCAGACAAATAGAATAAATGTGATTCACATAGTTATGCCCCAAATAAGTCAACAGCTCTCAAACCCCCTTCGGTAGCTGTATCCGAGTTTTAGGAGGGAGAAGCGAAGATCAGTTTGTGTAGGTAGGTAGGTGTTATATCTTACGAGTAGGGGAATTTTAACGGGTGCGTGGATGGGCAATGGAAGCTACTCTAACCTATCTCCTATATTCTCCTATATTCTCCTATATTCTCCTATCACATGTAATCCCGCGAACCAGCGCAATAAGGGAATTGTTATATTTGATAGTGTGGTGAGAACCGACAATCGTATCCGCCCGTCCCAAATCCACTTTTTCCTGCCTTTCCATCCTGGCCCGAAACGCCCGCTCTGCTTGATTACATATACGCAACGGCGCTTCTATCGCCCTTTGCTTTTGCTATTACCTGGACGGATAGCTTTAACAACCTAGAGGGGAACTACTCGCGAGCGAGCGAGTGACGCGTCATATCGTGACGGCTTGAATACGAAACATCAAACCCCCTTTTTGCCTCCTCTTTACGCTGCCCGCCCCGCCCAGAGACTTCAAAATGCTCACGAAGCGTTACTTCTAGTTCGTATTTCTTTCCTTTAGGTCCTTGGTCGCGGCCATGACTAGGTTCGCGAACCTATGTCCTGTCTCTTTGGCGGCATCGAATGCCTTCCTGGCACCATCCTGAACTTCATGCCCCTCCCGGTCCACGCGCTCCATCGTTCTGTCTATAAAATTTAACCCCCCTCCTGAAGCTGGCGAACTGGAGGTTGGTGACTTCGCAGCCTCCAATACCATATAATCGTCGCCGGTATACTTGCCCCTCTCTTGAGGCCCTACAAATTTCGTGAAATAGGTCCTAGCCCGGCCTTTCTTCTTATCGGAACGGATACGTTTGATTTCCGTCTCGAAAGCACGGTCATAGATATCAAAATCGATACCGGTAGGCGAGTCAGACACGATGTCAGCCTCAGTCTCAGAGGCAGTGAATCCGTCGTGTCCTCCCATGCCGATACCTAAGAAAAGCGGTGCCCTATCCGTTATGTCGTGAGCATGGCCCTTCTCTTCTGCCCCGGGCGATGCCAGTGGGTGAGTCAATGCGTGCTTTTGAGCTTCAAGGAAATCTCTGCGCTGCTTGATAAGCTCCGCAGCCTCTTCCGCGATCGATCTTTGATGTGTCGATTGCGCGATGGCCGAGACTTCTGCAATCGACGATGTGGTTGTTTCTGTATCTTCCGGAATAGCCTCTCGTACGATTTCCGGCGCGTGAGATATTTGAGCTACTTTAATATCGGGCGTCGCAACTCGACTTTTAGAAACGAGACCCTTAAACCGGTGAATTGCTTTCAACTAAGGTCGAACTCAGGTAAGTCTTTGGAAATGGCTTTTATAGGGACAGGTAGCTCTTACCACACACATCAGGTGGTCCATCTTTCGCGTGAATGCGTGGTTAACTTCCAGGGCATTCGGCGGCCCTACCATATCTGAACAGTTTTCTTCTTCGGAGAGCAAAGGATCAGAGCCTTCTTTTGTAACCCAAGGATGATTCTGCTCGATTTAGTATTCATTGTTTTAAGACTAGGTATTGGTAGACTTACTCTTATTTCTCGTAAAGTCAGTCTTGTCTCGTTGTTCTTATCTAGAATCCTGGTGATGAGGTCTACGAAGTTTGGATCTTCGTTATCGGAGGGTATTCGAATTTCCTCGGTACGGATCGCATCATACATGTCCAGCACATTGTCCCGCTTAAAAGGTAGTCCACCATATTTGAGACAGTACAAAGTAACCCCCATGGACCATATGTCAGCTGGTTTGCCCGGTACATCACCATGCCTGGCCTGGCAAAGTTCGGGTGGTAAGAAAGCAGGAGAGCCTGCAGATTTGCTGGTCATCATGTGATCTGGTTTCTCGAACATCTCGGACACTCCAAAGTCGACAATCTTGAGTATATCGTCTTCTGTTAGTAGGAGGTTGTCGGGCTTGATATCACGATGTATAATACCTTGAGCGTGTACTAAGACAATATAGAGTCAATGGACGTGCGACAGGACCCGTGCCTCGATATGAACTTACGGTATTCTATGCCCAAGATGAGATCGCGAAACCATAAACGACATTGTTCGTCGTCGTAGGGAGTTGCTTGCTCGTCTAACCCGACTTTCATAACAACGCCCTTCTTACACATTTCCAGGACCATGTATAAGGAGTCGTTTTCAGGGTCATCTAATACTTCGAATAACTGTACCAAGTTAGGGTGATTGAGCTTTTTCATGATGGCAACCTCCTCTCGTATTAGAAAGAGGGCATCTTTTGCTTCGGCAATTTCATGATGGCTGAGTTGTTTTCTGTGGGCGCTGTGAAGACCCTGTCCCGGACCAAGTGATCGCGGCCTCCCACCTTCGGGTCTTCTCAAGATATTCGACTGGGCTCGTTTTCGGAGGCGCAATTTTGAGAATTCCTTAAGAGCCTAGTTATACGAAGAGTGGTTAGATGGCTTCATGAACCCGAAACCGGCGGCGTGCGCTTACATATTCGGTTCCGAATTGGTCGGTAGCAAGATGTACGGCGCCGTAGGAACCTCTTCCAATCTCCTCTCGAATGGTGTATTGGTTGATGGTCTGTTGCGACCTGCCATCTGTCTCATCGTTCGTATACTCGGTCTTGGCGTTGAGGGTTTCCTGCGACGGGATCTCAGTTCACGACGACGTAGTAAGTTTCATTCCTTTCTCTACGGACCTTCACTTCGCGATGCTGAGACGGCGTCCTTTTGTGATGCCTCATGGGGCTTTTGAAATGAGATACGTCGGGCGGTGCAGACCTAGGCGAAGCGTTCGATGTCTTAGCCACACATCCATCCATATACATACAATCCGCTAGACGGCCAAGACAAATCGCGGGGCAAAACCGACGAAGTCTCGACTTATATAATATGCTTCGAAGACTCACAAGTGAGGGGCAAAGGACGGTCGACTGAACCCATCCGCATCTTGCTGAATCATAATATGCGGAGACAGGGGTAAGCTATGCGTTCTGTCGAATAGTCGTTCTTCGGATCCTCCTGATTCGATAAGTTCCTTGAGCGATGGCGTAGTGGCAGCCGAGGTTGTGTTGGATGAGGATTGCATCGTGGCGGTTTCGTTTATCTGTTCGAGGGAATGGCGAACATCAGATATTGAAGAGTCGATTCTGTTCTTGGCGCATGACTTTCCAGTTTGTTAATATAAATAAAAGATGAGGAACTTGAGGAACTTGAGGAATATGAGAAATATGAACGGCAAAAGACCAAAGATTAGATAAAATAGTAGAAATGATGGCCTTTTACATATGTATGTAAGTAACGGTTAGGTATCTTTCTGCACCATTCCTTCTTCTCACTCCCCCGGACCCCGGCACAATGGATTTTAAAAGAGGTTCAGCCCAAAGGCAGTTAATTCGGCGATTGGGCAAATCATGGCCCCCAACTGCACTCCCATGATCCCTGTTGCTGCTGCTGCTGCTGCATCACATCCCCGCTGGGACTCGAGGTGTTTCCAGGGCTAACAACTGGAAGATAAGAGCTTTGGTAAGTACGTTTTGACACACGACAGCATACTTGACCCTTGAACAGCTGAATACCTACATATATGCCTACATGTAAATGTGTAATGCCGGTAATTGAACGAAATAGGGTCCCCTTTTAATTGATATGGATACGTGGTTGATGATGTGTAGGTAGTTTCAATGTTTTAGTTAACTATTAAAAATAAAGTATAGGTACATACTTCTAAATGTCTTACATGTACATCAGTTGATAGCGACGCTACTGTAAGTGCTACCTACTGTAAGTTTTAGTCTTGCTTGAAGATTCAAGGTAAGAAGGCTGGAAGGCTGGACCCCTCCCTGCCTTCCCCCCTGGACCGGCCCGCAAATATTGGTTCAAGTAGGTACATAGGTACCTAACGTAGCATATGCCGACTTGCCGGCCGCTGTCTCAATTCCCAGTTCCTAGTTCCCAGTTCCCATTATTTTTAGCACCTGCATCGCCAAACCGCAACAGCGACAATCCAGTCCCTATCCCACTCTCGTCCCTCCGCCACGGGCATGTGATTTCCCCAGCTTGCGACCCGCGCTGGAGTTAGCTACTACATAGCCGCCATGCCTATACAGGTCTATTCGTTTTACATCTTCGACCGCCATAGTAAGACTACCTCGACCCTACCCTGCCGTGCCTACACAGATCCTAGATCGGATGCTACACGCAGCTCTCTGCTATGTAAACAACTAACCCCTAACACCGCGCAGCCGAGTGCGTATACTCGAAGCTCTGGGTCCCCCGGCCCTCATCCAGCATCGCCGGCCCGCCCCCGTCATCGCGGCCCCAATCGCAACAGCCCGCGTCCCTCGCCGCCTCCGCCGCCGCAACAATAACCACAGCAGCGCCGTCCTCCGCACCCCCCTCGACAACCACCTCTCCCGCAAACGCCGCCGCCGCCGCCGCCGCCGCTGCTGCTATCACCCGGCGGAAGAACGAGAATGACGCGAAGCTGATCTTCGGCACCGTGTTTAGCTTGCGGAACATGGTGCGCAAGCTCGGCGGCGACGACGACGCCTTCATCGCCTTTCGCACCGCCCACTACAAGCTGCACTACTACGAGACCCCCACCAACCTGCGCTTCGCCATGCTTACCGAGCCCGGCGCCCTCAGCATGCGCAACGTCCTGCACCAGATTTATATCAACCTCTGGGTCGAGTACGGTGAGTCTAGTCCGGATCTTCTTTTCGTGGTGTTTTATGCTACACAAGGATGCGGCGGGGGGAGATGCTGGAAGAGGGATGGTGGTGAGGCAAGGGAGGGGACTTGTCCTAGTCTTGGCTTGGCTTGGATCAAGAGACAACTTGAAGATATCTAGCTACGATATCATCCGAGTCATGAGATTATAGCAAATGGCTGGACGGGGGAACGCCGTGTCCCTAAAACCTGAATAATGCTAACATCACTACGTCCTAGTCGTCAAGAACCCCCTCTCCCCAGTCGAGCACAAAGGCGGCGACGGCGTGAAGAACGAGATGTTCGAGATGGGGCTGGATAAGTTTATCAGAGGCCTGATGTGACGGCTTGCCACGATAGAGAATAGACAGCGTGGTATAATACCGGCCTTGGGTAACCGAGGGAGTGAACTTAGCCCTTAGGTAGTTTATTCCTGGTTAGCCTGGAGGCTGACGAATTAATCAATGCTGCGGATAAGTGTCCCAGAAGAGAGGATATATATGGGTGGGTAGAGGGACAGCATAGAGATGCATCACTTTCCCGGCACCGCGTACACATGGCTGAAATATTTGGAGTTAGCATGAACTGCAAAACAAGGCATTGGAGCTAAGAGCTGGAGATGGTATCATTAAACCCCTTCCGGAACCGAGAGGCTTACTTGAAGCTTCGATATCCGCAGTACTGGCACATGTATATACATGTATGTAGCCCTCTATGTAAAGCTGCTTGAAAAGCTGGCAGTTGTAATGCACGCGCTATGATGTATCCTCGTCAAGAAAAGAAAAATCCAACCCCATTATGTCCCTCCTTGCATGATCCAATGATGTGCATTTCATTTCGTTATAACTAGTTACGTCAGTATCCAGAGTTCACATAGTAATCATGTTCTATCATGCCATATCGTTCATCTTCTAACTTTTACCGATCCGTCGCTCGCTCCCATGCCGTGTCGAACGAGGACTGCGTCTGCGAGATTTGCGACTGCGACGGGTCGACTATGACCATGCTCTCCTCGCCCAGAGTAGAGACCTGCGAGAACCGACCCACGTTGCTGCCTTCTGGTACATGCAGATTGCTATTGCTCGCCGTCTCGTCAGCGGCCCGTGCCGCAGCTAGGTTCTCCGAGTCCTGGATTTCGTTCTCCCAGTTGCTCGAATAGACAACAGCTGCGAAGGCTTCTAGGTCGCGTACCTGCTCCATCTCCTGTAGGTACTCGTTGGGCATACCATTGCCGATGGCGTGGGCCTGTCGCGTGAGCACCGATAGGATCTTAGGCAATAGAACAACCTTGGAGCCGGCAGCCTTCACGGCTGCCTGCTGACCGACTAGCGCTCCCAAGTCTGACGAGGGAGGGGCGGTAAAGGGTGTTCCTGGTGTTTGGAAGGCGCCTGGCAGTACTTTCTTATATAGGAGAGTAGAGAACCCAGCGTCGAGGAGGAGCGTCAGAACGCGCGTGAAGGGAGGAGACTCAATGAGGTCCGAAGTCTCGTCTAGGAGACGACGGAGTGGCGTCTCCGAAGATGCCGATGCCGATGAACTATCCGGTTGAGTAGACGCTGCCGTGTTGTCACCCAAGACGCCCGACTCCCGGAGAACAAAGTCTTCCATCTTAGTAGGGGGTAGTAGGAATGGTAGCCACTTGGAGCCTGGCCTCGACTCGCTGGTCTCTTCTGCCCTGCTCTCCATCTTCTTACGAACCTCGAGCGTAAGCTGTGAGAAGGTGTCGAAGCTCAGCAGGTCACGGGGACTGAGGTGTCCGAAGACGTCGCGAACGGCACCCTCGACGTTCTCCATGATCTCAACCCAGCCACGGTGCAGCAGCCACCAGCTGAAGGTTAGGTATTTCCGGTTCGTCTCAAAGTCGCTGCCGTATGAGTGCTCCGTGTTGTCATCATCGTTATTTTCTAAGCTGATTGTAGACTGCGCTGTCCCTGTAGCTAGAGACACTACACTCGATAAATAGCTACGTCGGCCCAAGAGATTGAGTTGGACCCGCGTGAGCATAGTAAGAAGGGCCAAAGTGTATACGAGAGTAAAAGCACGCGTTATTGCTAGAGAAACAGTAATTAGCCTAAAAATAGAGAGCATAGCTCGAACTGGCTTCAAAAGGGGAACTCACAGCTTATTGTTAAATCATCCCATAATTGTCTCTTCGTTTTTCTCAATCTCTGCATGGACTGCTGACCGCCATCTTGGGAGCCATCTCCTGCATTAGACACAGACGATATCGTCATCTGGCTGGTAAATACGCCACTCTCGCTCGGTAAACTCGCGATACTTTTTCCCTCTTCCTCGGTTAAAGTAGTATCAGCAATGCTAGGAGGTGCAGCTGACGATTCGCCGTTATTGCGCAGAGCCTTGCTGCCCTTCATCTGCTGAATCTCGAGCGTGATCCTTTCGGTGTTCATGGTCTCGAGTATATTCGTAGTCGCGGTCGGCAGCAATGCTAAGACTGTAAATGTGCAGTCTTCCTGGTTCTGCTCGAACCGACGTCGAAGGCTAAGGAATTGTTAGAAGGTTTATTGGTGGTTTCCCGAAGGAGGCTGTGAAAACGCGATCTTACTTCTCCTTCGCGATGCGATCGCTGCTCATGCGCTCACGCGCGTCATTGATCTTGTTTAAGACATATTGAGTAGCCAAGTAGCCAGCGCCAACGACGCCGGCACCAATGGCTATTGGGGTTCTATTACGGCGGAGCCATCGCCGTGTAGCTGATATCATGCTGGGCCCCTGAAGAAGGTTCGGGGGGGGTGGAAGACCTCAGAAATAGAATCAATGATTTAGTGCTTAAGGCTTAGGCTTTGGTGTTTTGAGATAGTTGTATTGCGTTGTAACTTTTTAGGTCAGAGGTACCTTAGCATTGACTGTAGCATTGGAAGGCTTGTATTGGAAGGCTCTAGGGGGAGCTTTTGAGTTGAGGTATGCAACCAACCTGCAGCCAGTCTTTCACCTGGAAATCACATTCAATAAGGTTCGGTTCTGACGTGTGCCTCGGTCCAAGCGCGCGAATCGTCCAGCACGGTAAAAGGTACCTAACCTAACCTATAGAACCTGCTAGTTAACCTAACCTTAGGTACCTAGCCTTACCTTAGCAATTAGCAATTGATAAGATAAGCACCTGATCGTATGCAACCCCCTGCAGCTAACCTAGTGTGTGATTTTAGGTATGTTGCACCATGCTAAGCTTAGGTACATAGGTAGATACCTAAATAGTGTACATACACTACATGTAGTTAGGTAGAAGCCACAGAATTAAATGTGGCTAATATGACGCATTGGTACATGTCCACTATGTATTGTTGTACATACTAGTATGTACTTCGTACTGGTCCATTTTCACCCCACGTTCCAAGTCTTTCCCCCTCCGGCTCAGCCCCTTTGTCGGGACCCCTCCATCAGACGCATCAGACTGATGATCATCTATCCATCGTGCCGGCGTCTGCTGATAGACGGTCTCGGGAAGGTCAACAGTCCCTAAAACTTCCTCCTAACAACCCAGAACCATCCCCGACTTGGCAAACTATACTATGGAACAACAAACACCTCAAGAGTTCATCCTCGAGGCTTTTGCCGACCCGGCTTCCGTTCGCGATGTGGTGAGAGGTATTAAAATCCATCTATCCATCTATCCAATCATATGCCCCCGCGACCGTCATCGTTGTTGTCCTTCTACCTATCATCATCACTCGCTCGTCCATCCATCCATCCATCCATCCGCCGTCGTCCACGAAGCTAGATCCCCATATCCCGCATCCACCTCTGCGTCTCCCCACAGATCTGCCTACCTATAAATATATCTCTATATACCCAAGCAAAGGCTAACTCGTAGAGCTCCCAACACAGGAATTTTACACACCATCTTCTTCCATCGCTTCTTCCCGTCGCTGTTGCCGCGTTCGCGCGAGGTCCTCGATATTACGCTGCCGTACGTCGAAGATGCCGAGCTGGATACTATGATCGAGAAGCGTGCCGCTGAGCTCGCGCGCGAACTCGATGCCGAACGAACACATTCGCACACGCATTCTCACCGCAGCGCTGGCGGCCGCGGTAACATCTCGGTCCAGTTCTTCGAGAAGAAGCGCCGCAAGACCTGGTATCTTCCCTACGGCGGCGGCGACGAGGAAGTTTGTTGGGAATCCTGGACGGTGAAAGTCACCGTAGCGGAACCGCGTACAGAGAGCGGTTTGTCTCCCTCCCCCCCTATCTATATATATATATCCCTTACCGCCCTTCTCCTTCTATCTACCTAGCTATCCACGCCAGGCATACAATCCCATGTGAATCCCATATGAAATACTACAGTAAAATAAAACGTAGATTATATCCGCTAACAAGCAACCCACACAGAACGCGCCAAAGTCCGCAAAGCCATGGAGCAAACCCTCCTAACAAGCGTTATGAAGATCGTAACCAGCGTCAACACCCACAAAGACCACATCCCACCCATAACCACCAGCGAGGCCAACCCCTTCCCCTACCAAATCAACGTGAACCAAAAAGACGCAGGCTGGGCCACCCGAATTGGCATATACTAGGTATTAAAGCCAATACTACTTATTTAGGGCCCTCTGTCGGATAACTTCAACATCAACAATAAACACGCCGTAGCTGGGCAAAGGGACATATATGGCTGCGTAGGCGGATACGGGATATGCACATACATACTTATATAGGCAGGCGCAGGAACAGGACACGCATAGAATCCGGGCATAGGCTGGTCGAAGTGGGAATAAATATCTAACCATCCAACCAACCAACTAACAACTAAGGAGGGAGCGGAGGTTATAATGGCAACGTAACGGAACGCTTCGTGAACCAACGAGCGGGGGAAGCGAAGGAAAGGGGGGCAGCGAGCACCCAAAAAAGTATTCGGAGCAAGGGGAAAGGGAAAGGCGTTCATGTTAACTACCTGTAACTTCTGGACTGGGAAACGGCGCTCAGGGAAATCTGATCCCCCTACGATAGACTTGGGCTTCTTCGCGGATTTCGTCATGGTAGGCCGGTGTAATTATAACTACAACTACAACTACATCACCGATTGATACCCCCATCGTAAGTAAATACATTGTATGCACCACGAGCCAGCTACACAAAGTCCTTCAGAGCATCGTGATGATAGTATCATATTGATCTAGACATGCGGGCATGTTCATGTTCTTACGGCACAAGTCACAATAGAAATAGGACCCATCATACAGATCCAAGATTGTTCAGATGAAAAAAGGGAGGTCGAAGTTGCGGTATAAGACCGGACTGAGTACTACGTAGATAAGTAGGTACTGATAGAAAAGCATCGCAAGATGAACCCTAACTCCAGTAATTGTCCGCCGTACATGGGCTATCCTAGCTGTCCATCCGTCCTCGCAGGCAAAAAGTAGAAAAATTATCACTAGAGCAACATATCCCATCTCAACCGAGTATGGGTCTCTCCAACTCGCAAAACTCCTCCGGAGGCACTATGCCTCAACACAATTCCTTGATTTCCCCGCCTTCCTTTCTTTGCAAGGACATTCCATCCAACCAACGCCTTATCGCATGCTCCCGCGTATCCACTAAAGGTCATAGGCTAAAGGGCGCGTGTATAGGGGAGACTATGAAGATAGTCCACCCTGAATCTGCGCCAGACAAAACCCAAGCAAAAAGCAAATGAGAAAATCCAGATCTCATTATGTAGGCGTTGTGATGAAATATGTACTTGACACGTGTCGTCATTATGATATCAAACAATAGGCAAGAACGCCGGCCGCGGGGCGAGAAGGTAGGCGAAAAGGTCTATATTCGTCGAAGGTAGGTAGCGTATTCAACGCAATCGAATCGAAGATATCCGGGATGCAATGAGGTTCATTATTCGTAATCATCATCAATGTGATATTGCCACCCCTAGGGGTGCAGCGCAGGCGCGTTAAAATTTGGTCGTAAAACTACGACCTAAAGCCGGCTTCGAGGATTTGGAGGAAGCAGGTAGGCCGCGAGTGGGTTGGCTACCACTGATTCTCTCAAAGCCCTGAAGGATATCTATACCAGTACCCTCGTCCGCGTCGTCCTCGAAGAATTGGGAGGTGCAAAAGTCTTCCAGGCCCATCCAATTGTTCTTCGTAGAAGAAGCATTCTTTGTAGGAGACTGCATGAATATTTTACTGGGGGAGGATATGTCTTCGAACACCTTACTTGGGGTCTCATACGACAGAGGAGTTGTTGAAGCCGATGCCTTCAGCAAGGGAGCCGACGTAATCGATCGTTTGGATGCAGAGTTTGTTAGGTCACCAAGGACACTTGTAGATACAGATCGGTCAAGGCGACCCCTCCTAGCCGAGCGCTTCAGGGGAGAGCCATTATCCGCAGCCCCAAAGAATTGATCTAAGGACTGATCTTGGTATATATCAAACTCTGCAGGGTCCGTGATGAAATCGTTAAAGTTAAACAGCGAATCGTCTATTTGGAATGCTGGACTCCACGGCATTGTATCCTCAGTTATGTTGCTAACACGACGAAGAGGCGAGTTAAGCATGGACCTAACATTGTCCCTGTGTATGCGTAGGTTCGTGTTAGGCGAAACGGAAGCAGGAGGCTTCGGAGGCGGCTTTATTTTAACAGCGGGTGTCAGAGGAGGTAGCATCTGACCAGCGCCGTTTGTCCGTCTTAGTGGTGATGAAGAGGGAGGGGCAAACTCAAAAGGACGTCCCTTAGTAGGACTATCATAGGATGAGGCACGAAGCCGCGCAATCTCTTCTTCGGCACGTCCTCGCTTGATTCGGGGACGATCAGTTCCCGAACTAAGGATTCGATTACCTCTAGGGCGCATAGCCGATGACTCCAAAGACGAGATATATCCACTGTCATCCATACAGGCGTCCATCGAAGCGTACTTGCGCCCATGGCCACGCTTGTGAGGGCCAGATGAAGGAAGCTCTCTCCTAGTTGGAGGCGGAGTATTGCTCCGAGCTTCCATTCGACGAGGAATCGGGGGCGATGAATGTATAGCAGGAGGGAGAGGAGAATATGCACCACTCTCCGGAGGTTGCCCTTGTTCCTGGCTCTTGTCCGGTTGCTCTTCTGGTCCGACATTGTCGGATAGCGGAATAGTAGCATCAGACGAGACTTCAGGTCCAGCTTGGCCTAAGTCTTGTGATAGCATCGAATCATGGATATATGGGTTCGGTTGTGCTGGGAGCACTGGAGGTAGAGAAGGTAGACCATCATGGAAACTAGTAGGCTCAATGCGCGGAGGCTCGACCCGACTAGACATAAAAGGGGTGTTTCCCATGTTTGCTGTAGATTTCTTACTCTGCTTCTCTCTCATAAACTGATGCTCCATTCCAGGCTCTATGGCCCAGTAGTTACCCTTGCCCGGGTCGTCCTTTGGTCGCTCCTGTTTGATAAAGGCCTTGTTGAGGGAGAGATTGTGTCTAATGCTATTTTGCCACCCCGCATCTTGAGCGCTATAGAAGGAGAAGTTATCCGAAATCCACTTGTAGATCTGTGAGAGAGTGAGTCGCCTTTGAGGGGCACGTAAAATTGCCATTCCGATCAGTTGAGCATAGCTATATGATGGTTTCGCGCCAGTGTCCTCAATCGCGGGGAAGGAATCGGGTGGCGGTAAGGGAGATTCTTCCAGTTTGGCCTTCTTCGCGGGTCTCGAGTCCTGAATTGGGGCGGCTTCAAGTAATGCTCGCTTCCTGGGGGGTGCACTCTGATAGTAGTTCTCCAGGCTTAGATTGAAGGTAGACGGCGCGGGATATAGCGTAGGATGAACATTCTCTTTTCCGTAACTTGCATTTGCTTCCACGGGCGGCTTTTGAACAACCGTCTTGAATCTCGACATTAACGGCTGTTTCTTCTGCATCGAATCTGTTGTCTGTCCATGAGACGCCGGCGGTAGTATCGATACGGCATTGAGCTTGCTGCCATGCGATCTGAGCGGTGTCATCGGGGAGGAGGCGGTGCGTCCGGTTGGCTTGAACGGTGAATGCTGCTTCGCGTGCGCATTGGGCGGATTAAATATTACGTTTCCATTTGAGCTTTGTAGAGCCCGGCGAGGAGAGTGCTGTTTGTTAACCGAGGGCATCGGTGCCCGGCTGATAGATGGGGCGGGCTGGTCCAAGTAGTCATCTTGAAATATGTGAAGCGGCTCAGAGTTGGCCGACAAAAGCGATGGTTTGACCATATTGGCCAATGTTTATACGTTGTTCGTCGCTCGGCAATACTATTATATTTGCTATTGACGTCGGTTAGGATGTAGATACGATTGATGTGTGACTTAAAGTGTAGTTTCGTTTGTGAGTTCAGGTTCTTGTTCTTGTTCCCGCTTCTTAGACTGCGTAACGATTGAGAGATTGGTGAAAATGGAACGATCTAGTACTTAGTGAGAACTCACGGTGGGTGACTTTAATTAGCTGTGGAGCCACGAAGCAAGGGTTGCCTGTGGCGCGCCAGATATCAGGCACTTTGACGTGCCTACAGCATAGAAGGTCTCAAAAGTGAACCGCTGTCGTAAAGTTCAAATAACGATATACACAATGGTCGCTGTAATGCTGTCATTGATATCGTAGATAGTAGTAATGGAGAAGGTTGCCGATGGATGGAGGGAAACGATGGAGAAAGAAGAGGGGATGGAAAGGAGACGGAGGAGATGGGGAGAGCCGGTTCGTGGGGGATGGGATCGAGATACTGGAATGGTTTCCGCGACCTTGGACTATTGCTGGTTTAGGTATGCGGGCGTTACAGGTGCGATAGAAGCACAGGAATGCCTTTGGGCCTTTTTTGGGTCAAGACCAACTAGCAAAAGAGTCGAAGTGAAGGGTCAGAGGGTGTGTCGAGCCTACGAAGGCTGCAAGGTCGGCACGCAGAGAATAGATTGAACCAGGACCGGGGAGACCGAATAGGGTTAATGGAAATAGCATAGAGTGTGCCAGGATTGGCAGAGAGCAGAACGCCAGCTCAGCAAAAGATCCACTTAGGTAGACCCGCCGGTGGATGTGCGGATGGGAAGATGGGAAGATGGAGGTAAAATGTAAGATATGATTGGTTGATAGCGTCGTGGGCTGATACGACCATGGCAAGTGCTAACAAGGGTTGTTTTAAACAAGACTTGACAGACCAATTTGCAAGGAATGTCAAGAAGAATCCTAGTTTCTACATACGGAGTGGGAGAATTTGCAAAGATGTGCTTCTGCACGTGCTATGGTTGGCCAGTTTTGATGATTATGCAGTCTCGAAGCAGGCCAGAACCCTGCCTTTTTGGTTTCTTTGGTCTTTTTTTGACCTACGATTGCCGGATGGGCTGTGCAGGATAACAAGATATGTATGTACCTAGCAGCAAGATGGATGCGAACGATATGCTCGTAATTGCGAAGATCTTGTCTGTTGGAGTTGGAGTTGTTTGGAGGTTGTCTGGGTGTGTTTACTGCGGTAGCGCAAAAGATATCAGATATCAATAGGTTGGAATTAGGATGACCTATCAACGGTAGGTGATGGTGATGATGATGATGATGATATGATGGTGGTTGCTACTACTTAGGTAATGGCAGAAGCCGAAGAGGGCGGAGTTAAAGGCTTCCCAGGAATGCGAAGCAAACAACCTTAGGTATGTACCTATGTAATGTACTGTTGGGACTTGAGACTCGGACTTGAAAGGGCCGCGTCACACTGATTATTCCCCAAAAGTTCTTTAGATTTCTTCTCAGCTTGTACGGATTATAATAGTTGGTGACTGTGCAGAATAAAGTGCAAAGTGCAGAATAAAGGCAGCTGAAGATGGTACGAGTGTTTAAAATTGGCGAGATAAAGTGAAAATGATTGGTCGCGAAGGTCGCGCGTACTTGCTGCAAAGTGTGCAAAGTGTTTGAGGATTAAGAAGATGAAGAGAAGTGATTGGAACGCGAAGGCGCGTCGCCGTGGCGTTTCCTTTGTTATGCCTGAAGAGCGCGTCTAGCCAATCAGAGTGGTACCTTTAACTTCATACCACCTTGGCAAGCCATAAAAGGTTAATTATGTACGTTACTGCATAAGAGGTGCATAACAGGTACATAATGCGATGTATCTTTCCTATTATAGTAACTAATCCATTTCGAACCTTGTCTTAGTCTTATCCCGTGCTATCGGGTACCTAAGGTCAATACACACGCGCAACTATTTGTTCTTACCTAGACTCGATATTAAATGTATCAAATGTAAATGGCACTATATACACTGAGATATTCAATACATATAGAATGTGCTCATTCCCTATTCTTGACATTTGTCTGTGTAAACACCTGCTTTCTAACCCGAAGGTCTGGTTCGTATACGAAAAGGGGTATATAGTTGGCACGAACATGTTAAATTTCAATCCCATCCTAGCACCTTGGAATTCCACATCTGCCGGCGCCATCTTGATACGCCCGAACTACATAGTACATAGTATGCAAAACCAAGAATACAACGAGCCATGATATCATGGCCTGACAGCCGGGTCCCATTAAACTCCATTCCAATTCCGACGATCACCTTAGGCCCGTCTTAGACTAAAGCCTTCCTGACTCAACTTTCTAATTAAACTACCAAAACGTACTACCGCCGTACTCAGACACGATCGAATTTATGTTTCCGATCAATTTCAAGTACGAGCCATGTGAATCATCTATCCCGGACAGCCTTAAAACAATGTCGTGGACGTGCGCCAGAAAAGTGTAAATACCTAATTATCTCTTGTACGCCATCTCCATGCGCCACGGTAAAGCTACTGTACAACTCAACGCACCCTTTCTGGCTTAATTAATTAAACGAGCCAGTCTGTCAGTTCGGCAGTGAACCACATAAGCCGGGCGGCTGCCGAGATGAAGCCACTGCAGAATAATTCCCAGCAGAGCAGAGAGGTAAGTTCAGTTTCCGGCATGGGGCCGCATCCGTAGTCTTATCGTCGCCACTTCGGCCAGCAGCAGCAGCACGGCGATCCAGGGCCATCCATGACCTTTTTGCCATCTTCCATTGGCAGGAATCGTATTTTTCCAGAGTCGTACCATGCCAGTTTTGATCACACATTAATAGTAGTATTCTTCAAATTCTTACTACATAACATAGGTAATACATATCATACTGCTATAACACATACGTTATCATACTAAATAAAAATTGATATCTTCCAAGTTCACCGTTGATTCGCGATCTGCCTTGGGGTTTGACCGCGTATCCCTGCGTTATTCGCTTCCCATTAACCCCTAATTAGGCAGGTCAACCAACTACGAACCTTTGTGCCGCGTCAGTACGGACATCGCATTGAATCGCAAAGTGCAAATGGTATAGTGCAAAGCATAGTATACATAGTATAGTCTAGTCTAGTATAATAGTAAGAGGCCTCGATCGATACGCACGGACATATGCATAGCATAGTATTTGAGAAATGTTGAGAATAACCTCGAGTACAATGCATACACTAAGCAATAAACAATAAGCAATGAGGCAGAAATTAAACAAACGCCAATGACGTGCCCGACATCGTGTTTCCAGACGCCTTACGAGATGCAATAAATTATGAAACACGGCAATTCCAGGCCCGTGGCCGCCATCGGACTGGCCAAGACCCCAAAGGTCCGTCTCCTCCGTGAGATGCCTGGTCATAGTAGGCCATACTATGTATGATAGCTGAGTTTCCCCACGAACCTACATAGCGGTAAACAGTTGTCTATAAGCACTCCCCAGTAATCGTCGAGCCATACCCTTCACCCGGTAATACCATGGAGCGTCAGCTAGAATAGACGGTGAAGCATACCTATTCAGACACGGCCCTCCTCCAGCGCAGCCTTGAAATGCGCAATGGCCACTACTCTTACGCTGACGAGAGACAACCCCCCAAATTGCCCGTCGCCGCTGTTCGCGCTGTCGAAATTGGCGCGAGGTCTTTGGTGAGCCATGTGAGGCCGGAGGGTGTGTGTGTGTGTGTTAGTAGGTCAGGCGAGGCTCACGCTGGGCGTCATCGGCGCCCAACGTGAATGACTGGCAATGCGGATACGGCCAGGTGATAGAGGCAATGGCTCTAGGACAGCTTCAGCAGGTCTTGGTCAGATCGAGTCGAAAGACCTACCACGGATCCGGACCAGTATTGGTCTGGTCGTCTGAGACCGGACACAATGAATCATCTTTGTTTAGGTCAAACCTCTATTGCTAGTCGGTTGGTTCATTGGTAGCATTCTGACAGTTGCTTGGAGGAATTGAAGGATTTACAGGTCAGATTTCAGGTCCGTGTTTCTAAGCTATTGCTTCTTTAGCCTATCCTTCGAATAGGCTATCATTCAGTGGAGACGGTTGTGAAAGTCTGCATACTGGTGGCCCCTTTTCGTGAAAGGGACTCAGTCACTCAAACTGGTACAAGATTATTACTATCACTCCCTCAGCCTTCAAGAAGATGTTTATTGATGTATGCTGGATATATTGTGTCTAATTGGGCATACTAAGACACTATTCTGAAACCCCTCAAACAAATTATACCAATTGGTTAGACCGGTACAGGTAATTGGTTATTATGCTCCTCCCCGCGAATACTATACTGAGCCTAGCAGACCATTTTGATCACAATATGTTATAAGTGAGTGAAAATCAGATTACACGGGTTATATAATAATAAGACGAGCTCTTCGTGAAATAGCCAGAAAGAAACTACCAGTTCGGAGTGCCCGACTACAGGTGTAAAAACAGGCGAGCCAGTAGTTCGGACGATGGCATTCTGAAAAGCAACCACAAAGGGGCGTTGTCATCCTTAAGGGGGCCCTATTCTACGAGGCGTAGCGTAGAAAGTACCTACGTACGTGGTTGTCAGAATGAAAACTCGGTACCGTACATACCAATATTGCAAGCAAGATGCTAAACCGGCCAATTATTCTAGTGTTTGCCATACCTCATATTTTATTTCTCATGACCTCGTGGCCAAGAGACCTGGGATGGAACGTCTTGCCGTAATATGTTGGGACGTACCACATCGAGTTTTCAGCAACCAAGTCTCCACGGGCAAGCTGTAAGTTCGGGTCTCGATGCTTCGCCATGGCCATATAACACAAAGCCAATCGGCCCCAATCCCCTGATGCTTGCGCGGGCTCAAGACACGACAACGGGTCAACCAGAGCCGATCTTGGGGGCAAAGTCTGAAGGTCAGAAACATGATTTGATCGGGTTCCATTCCTGGCGTTATCCGGGCCGCCTACGAGGAAAAACCACGTATCTTTGCGGTCGTAATCAGGCTCTTCCACACCCTCCTCGCAGAACCGATGACCATCGAACCCCTTGTCATAATCAATAAAGATGACCTTATCCTTGGTAAACCGCGAGTTTATCGTGTTGATGGTCTTACGGATCTTGGCATTGACGGTGAGTACCATCGTATTCATCTGACTCCTCAGGTCCTTTCTCAGCTTTGGCCCGCGCCACCAGACGCCAAAGCTCATCTCGTCGCAGTCGTCAGTGACATCGTTAAAGAACCGGGCGTATCCCGTAACCGTAATTGTGAAGGAGGGCTTCTTCTCCCAACGGACCTTGTCGAGGATTTCCATGATGATGATCTCCAGGCGGTGTTCGAATTCATCGCTCTCGATTTGGTCCCGTGTGTTCTTGAGCGCCGTCTCGCAGGTACCAGAGTAGAAGTTGTAGAAGCGAAACACACATGCATTCATTAAGTCAAAGAAGCCAAGATCGTTCCCACCGATTGACAACAGCGCAAAGTCTACTGGTAGTGAAGCGTTGAAAGCATCGATCTGGCTATCATGATTGGTATCACGACTGGACAGAACTTCTTGGGTCGTGGCTCCTGTACAAGATAGAAATTGGAACGTCGTAGAATTCCGTCCGCCTCGGCTGGCCAACAAATCGGAAGCGATTAAAACACTATGAGCACCTAAACCCTGCCGACAATCATTCTCCTTGCCATCTACGCCAGTGCCAATTCTAGCACTATAGGAATCACCCAAAGCAACGAAGCCGGTTACTGAGCTAATGTCATCCGATGAAGCCGAGGAGATAGGGAGTGGCGGCTGTCGATGATGGCCTGACATGCTGTTTCCGATAACATATTGGCCCTCCGGAGCGATTAGTCGACGCTGTTGAAACGCGCGACCAGAAACAACTCCAACTCCGGAGGAGACAACAAAGGTGAGTACGGCAGCCAGGCGCATAGCGAAGCTAGGCTTCATTGAGGCCATATGTCAAGATACATAGTTGGAGTAGTATAAGTTCCCGAACTTGAGGTACTATGTAAAATATATAATATATGAATGTAGATATGTAGACATGTAGTAGATCTAGGCAGCTATTTAGGAGATAAGACGAACGAGGTCACGTCGACGGCGTTGTCTGCATTGTGCCGCAAATCACAAGGTGAAGTCACAAGACCAAGCCAATGGGAAGAGTTGAGCCAATGCCTTATGCACATGCGGTCCTGATTGCTTCTGGTTTGGCGGTTATCTGGTTATCTGATTACATATCTGGTTATCTATAGTTACTACATGTATGTAGAAAATCTTAAAATTCCCGACCGGTTGGTAACGGCATTCATTCACTACCTACCTATGTACCTATTCTTTCGGATAATCTTCGTCATTTAAGCGGCATAGATTATAAAGTTAAAGAGTGGAAACAGCTGACAAGCACTTGCTTCTTGCTGTAGCTCATATGTTAGGTACATAAGCTCAAAACGGTTCCGAGCTAGAAACACAATGACGTCAACATCTCTTTTAACCCCACCAACGTCATCGCCCATCTAAGTATTCCTCATATCCTCCTGGTATCTTGATATCTACCTGGCCGTGGCACATTGTAGCTCTTACGTACAAGTCAGTATAGGTCAGTGTATGTCTAGGTAGGTAGGTCAGCGGCGACCAATCTAAAGCTTCAATCCCAGATTCGGCTTCATGTAGTCAAGCCACATACCCTCGTATGCCGAAAGGAAGGAATACGGGGCTTGCAAGGAACCTCTTTGTGCGTTCACCTTGCCGTCTTAAGCGGTCATTCTTCCCTTACAGGGAACCCGTCGTATGCCATCATAAAAGACGTCAGAGACAAGCCCGCTCTATCCTGTTGTAGTCTATGTAGCAAATATATCCATATATACCTGCCCTACCACCGAGTCTTGGCCGTTCTTAATTCTCCAGATTTACACGACCCTTTACGACCCAAACATAAGCAAGCTTTATATTCCTTGACAGCCAAGAATACGACATTAGATACTAACCTTCCTACATACCTACATACCTACATACCTACACACCTAGGTAGGTATATACATAATCCGGCATATTACTCTATATTTAATTCACCATGGAGACCGTAAGCAACGTGGCGTCTGCGGCTGTTAAGGCTGTCTGGGGCGAGAATAAGCAAAACGGCCCGGAGCCTATCTCGGGTCAGACTGGCGACACCTCTAAGGGTGAACCGTACGATGCTGGTAACATTGGTAATGTTCCTCCTCGGATATATCATCATACAAATTGGAAACTAACATGGACTTATAAAACAGAGGATCCTAAAGTCCAAGCCGCCAGGGCAGAAACAAATGGCCAAACTAATGGCGAGGTCAACAGATCAACAGAATACACTAAAGATGCTCAGTTCTCTAAGGAGACAGGCACTGCAGTAGAAGCCAAGGATACGCCAGACAACCCGTCGACAAAGCTCAAGTCAAGGAGCATACCCGACGATACAACCAAGGCTCAGAACGACGTGCGCAGCCCAGAGGATCCGAAAACGAACCCCAAGTCCGCGCCTACTGATGTCAACGACACCGAAGACGGTCTGAACGAGGCCCAGAAGCTAGATGGCCCTGGACCTAAGCCGCTCGATGAGATAGCGCGCGAGCACGGCGGCGACGCGGGTAAAATAGGAAAGGAAGAGAGCAAACCGCTTCCCGGCAAGGAAAGCGAGAGCAAGAGCAGCGGCGAAGACGGAGACGGAGACGGCCCGAACGCAAAGAGTACCGGCGAGGGCACCGGCGAGCAGTACGTCAAGAGCAGCGGCCTCCAGGCCGACGGCGGAGACTTCGACGCCACGAAGCCGGGGGCCGGCAGGGAAGCTGACCGTAAGTTCACCACGCCACCTCATGTATAATTAGGGGTAAATAACTGACCAGTAACCCAGGCCTGCTAGGGGAGAAGGGAATCCATCCCGTCGGCGGCGCGAAAGACGACGACGCCTTGGAGCACGACGACAAGAAGGACAAGGACAAAAAGAGCATCGGGCAGAAGATCAAGAATAAACTGCACCGACACTAATTTCGCCGGCCGTAGGGACTGGCTACGGGTGCTTATGATAATGATGATTCATGACTTCTGAGAACTGCGAGGCTCGCGCTGTTTGACTAGGGCGGCGATATGAGTATAGGGTCGCCGTCAAGCTCAGGCGTCTTTCGCTTTGCGGCGTCTGTGTTGTTGTTACTACTAGTTATGATATAATATCAAGTATTTTCACAGTTACGTAGCATAGCTCGTTATCCGCCCTCTTAAGGAGAAGAAGTTGCTTTCCTTGTTTGTTATATCTTGCTCTTAATATATTTCATGAGTTTCTTCATTCTGGATTATTCATAAATTATTAGTGGCTAATTCGTGTTTCGAGACGAAAATGGCACAAATAATAGAGTGTCGAAATGCATAATAGCTAAACGGTTGGTCTCTCCCTGTCGTCTTTCTCTTATATGATAGGCGATGTTAAATAAGGTATCGTAATAGCTGCTTGTCTCCCTAAGAAGATAAGTAAGGTACCTAACCTAGGGAACTTATGGCCATATCGAAACATTTACATAAATCTTTCCACCACAGAAATTAGAGACGTAGATATTAACCGAACAGAGCAAACCCTATACCGACAGCCATATCAACCATCTGATGGTTCCCTAGTCTCCAAGTTCTGACTTAATCTTACAGGATCTTAGGCAATATGAATCGACCGCCCTCTTATAATGGGCATCCAATACCGAGGCATATAGTGAACTCTACCGCCCCCGTCTTACGTAGAAACACGGAAGTTTTATTCATTTCTTGTTTACAATACGACGTACAACATTATAAAAAACCGACAGTCCTGTATCACGTAGCTTAAAGCCAACTGGTAACAAAATATGACAAGTCAGTGTTAAACAAACTATATACACGACCAAGGTCGAAAAGGGGGAACTATATACAGCAACGGCAATAATTAAGGATCGATCACTAGACCCAGCCTCGATGAACAACGGACTGAAAATAACAGCCAGATAACACCCCCCCTGCCCGTATCCAAACTAGGGCAGCTAAGAAAACAGTTAAATAGCCGGGTATATGAGGACCAAAAGCAATGCAGCCTCGAAATGATATGTACCTAAGGTAATATGCATGAACCAGCCCCCAAGGCCAACGAAAGACGAAGAGAAGAAAACGACCGATCCTAGACCCTGTATTCAAATTCCCATTTGCCATGCAGATAAAAAACAAAAGCCCACCCCCCCCAAACGCCGAGGCGAGCCCAAGAAGCCAAGAAGAAAAAACAAAAAAAAAAAGTTCACAGCGAGTGTACATAACGAAGCCAAAGCTGATTGATAGTTGGGCATATACCGTACCCATGCAGAACAACCAAGCCCTCCTACTGGATATGCAGCATCTTCTTCAGCGCGTCAAGCCAGCTCTTCAGCTTGCTCAGCCAAGCAGGCGTCGTGCTCGGGGTCTTCGTCTTGTCCCCGCCGCCGTCCTTATCCTTGCCGCCGTTTGAAGTCGGTCCGCCGATCGTCACGGTCAGCAGCTCCGGGTTGGCGTCGAAGACGGTGCCGGCCTGGTCTGGGCCCGCGTCGCCCGAGGGCACCACGTCGTCGTACGGGAAGGCGTAGCCGCGGCCGTCGAGGTTGACTTCGTGGGTCTGGAGGGGGAAGGAGGGCGTGTTAGTAAATATGGATATACATATATATGTATAATTAAATTGAGTTGGGGGGGGGGGGGGGGGGGGGGTTCGTGTGATTGTAGATAGGTATATATGGAAAGGGGAAGGGGGAAAAAAAAAGGGGGGGTTGGAGGAGGAATATCAACCAAGCCAAAGAAAATAAAATAAAATAAAAACCCAGCAAACATACAATACGCGCATAATGGTTCGTCGGGCTAGTCTTATAGTAATTCGCAATCTTCTCCCCGTCCGGCTGCTTCGCATCATCCAGCAACGTCGAGCGATTCAACGCGGCGGCGATCCTCGCGCCCAGCGCGCCCATCTGGTCGCGCGTGTTCTCGGGGTAGCTACCGAACGGCCCCGTCGAGCAGCTGAATATGTCGCCGGCGCTGGGCTTCGCAAAGGAGCCCACGTTCGGGAACGTCAGCAGGTCGCCCTGCACGCGCCCGGTGACGTCGCCCCACGAGGCCTGCGTGTTGATCGTCAGGTCGGTCGACGCGTACTTGCTCCACACGCGGTTGACGTAGTCGTCGTAGTACCCCTGGAACAAGTTCGCGTCGGCCACGCGCCCGCTGTTCGGGCTCAGCGCGCGCAGCGTCTTGCCGTCGGGCCCCTTCACGATCAGCTTATCCCAGCCGGCGCCGTCTGCCGCGTTCTGCTGCGTCAGCTTGTCGGCCACCGTGTCCAGCCCGCCCGCGGGCATGCCCTGGACGGTCTGGACGTTGCCCGCGGTGTTGCGCAGCTCGAGGGCGATGGGAAGCGGGCCCACGAAGTCCACGTAGCTGATGTTAACGAAGAGCTGCTGCGAGTTGTACGTGAACTCGCAAAACCCCCATGAGATGTTGTAGTTGGGGTCCGCGGAGTTGGTCACGCTAGGCTCGACGACGGCCGGGCCCGGGTTCAGCAGGAACGTCAGCTTGGAGCCTGTGCTGAACCAGATGCGGCCGCCAGCGATCTGGGGTATCGTGACGGAGGTCAAGGCACCGGGCTCGCCGAGCGGGATAGAGACGTCGGCTTCGAGAGCCGACTGGGGCGCAGACGGCGATGAGGGCCGGTACACGGTCGTGCCATCGGCTTGGATGAACAGCGGGACGTTGTTGTTGTTCAGGTCTAGGCCGGTGATATAGGCGTATGCCTGGGACGAGCCCGTGTTGTTCTTGATAGCTATCGCGGTTGTAGGGTTCGTCATCTTGCCGGATTTCCTAGTCTACCAGAGCACGTATAGTTATAGACGCAAGTAAGTCGAAGCCGAGCTAACTTCAGCCGATAGGTGTATGGGATTACATTTAAAATTCTGAGAACATGTAAACTTCCTTTGGATTTAAATGTGAGATGAGCTTTAGATATACAGCTAGGAGTATAGGAGTTCCAAGAGACTCCTAAGTCTAGAGGTAGATTTTGCGGGCATGTGCTCGAGATTCCTTGTTAGAGGGGGCAACTTGTGACCATCAAGAGGTATAGGCGTAGAACGACAAGAAGAGATGAAAGCCAACCGAGCATATAGGAGCAAATACCGCATACGTAAGATATGTTTCCCTAGGTCGGGCTTGTGAGCTGGGCCTACGATCATTTGATAGCAAGTCCTGTCAACCAGTACCTGAAAAAGCAACTCCATGATAGGTCGTATATACGCCGACCACAAGGAGACGGCTTTGCTTGGATTATTTCTTGAAAATCTAACCAAGCTCTAAGGAGAAGTGGCATCATGTGTCATCGATGTGACGAACTTCATGTGATATGTGATTCGAACCATGGTCAAGGACATCTCAAATAGGGTCGCAGTACTCGCACAGCCTCTTCAAGCCACTCATAATATGCATGTCATAGCACATGGCAAAGAAGAAAACATGAGAGTGTTGAAAGCGATAGGTCTTCATGATAGCATGGGTGGTATCCGGATATCTAGCCATGGCCGGCTGACGAGGGCGAAAGCAATAACAACGAATCTAACATGGTAGAAGGATACAAAAAGAGGAACTAGGGGAAAAGAGAAAAAGGTGACTGTGGAACATGAGGTATGACGTCTCATCCATGATGAAAATCCCTAATGGTTTAAGGTATGTCATCGACTTGCGTATTGTAGGGTAGGCTTAAACTGCGAGGCTAGATGAGATTGTTTCATCCTACGGATCCAATAAAAGCCGTTACCAATTATAACTGTGTGAACACGCGCATTGGTGTCTCGGAGGTTACAGCCAAAGGAGAAGGCCGGCGGTAGACGACATGAATGTACTATCGTGGTGGAAGGTGGTCGGGCCGTAGCCGGCCGTCGGCGTCTTTGTACGTAAGAGAAATGCGGAGAGTTTATTTGTATAGATGCTTAAGGTCATGATCGATATACGTATAATATACTACGGAGATTGATGTGAGACAGTTTAGTGAAGGTGTGGGTGTTTAGACTACATAACGTAATGGTAGTATAAATCTATATATATATATATATCCGGGGGTGACAGATGGTATAAGTAAAAAGTGTATAATTTAAATATCGACAGGGGATTCTGCAATATCAATAACTACTACTTTTAAACGTATATGCGTAACTATTATAATACATATGTAGCGAATAACTATATGCTGAATTATCACAAGCTTTAGTCTTGAATGCTTAACATATGTACCAAGGCATACATAACTATACAATAAATGTAACTTACATAAATGTAACTTACGTAAATGTAACTTACTATATAATTGGATCGGTCCAATTCAAAAAAAAGCCGAAGACATGCTTACCTTCTCCACGATCCCCCATCCGATCGATCAAGCCTCTGAACTTGCGAAACCACCCATTTGAAGCCCCAAACGCCTCCAAGCATGACCACATGTTGTGCAGAAAAGGGGGTGTGGAAGGGGGGCCACCCCAATCAGGCAGGTGGAGAGTGTTACCGCACAATGTGACTGGGCCGCTCCATATATCGAGTTCAACTTAAACATCAGCTAACTAACCTAGCGTTATATCTCTCTCTCAAGACTCTTCTCTACCTAGGTATACATATACATATACATATACCTACATATGCTAATGTAAGTCAAGACGCTAACAGACGAACTCCAGTTCATTCCATCTCTAGCACGATACCTGATATCCTTTCCCCTTTCCCCTTTCCCCTTTACCCTAGGTACACGTAGACATCTCCGCATTCCCTAGCCCGGATGACTCGTGCGAGGGGGAGGGGGAAAACCTGCAAAGCTGGGGTCGAGCTCAAAGTTGGTTGTGTCACCAGGCGGAGCCCCAGGCTACCCTCCCTGCGACGAGATCGTCGAGTTGAGTTCCTCTTGTCCGCCGGTTGCACACATCCAGCGCGCGTCACGAGACACTCTTGTAAAGGGAGTGAGACATATCATTTCCCTCTTATCCTGAAATTTTAATTACCCACCTAGGTATGGAGTTTCTAGCTTGTGGATATACAGAGCATTCTTAGTAACGTTGCACTTCTGGCACATGATTGAATTTTATATAAATGTTTACTGAGATAAATAGTAGTGGATGTAGACTCTTGACTTTTAGACCGTTTCCTAGACCTCTACTCTTAAAATATCAATTAAGCGTAAATGACTAAACCAAGTTATATATATATGTATAGTTACCTAGGTATATAACTATTACATACGAACTGCGCAACATTTGTAAGTATCTCAATTGTCCTCGCAAGAAGATATATATATACAGGCAACTAAGAGTCACAACAACAGACGGCGTTAGAAGAATCGTCCTGGCGCCGACTTGAAAGGTATCATACAACTAAAAGTGAAGTGCTATAGCTTATAGCTTAACAACCCGCGCCATAATCAAAATGCTAGAATATGCTTATCCGAGCCGCCTTTATCATCCATATCACATCCTTCTAAGAATATCTAATTAGACAGAAACTTCTTTATAGACCAACCACCCAAGTGCTGGTTGCGATAGCCGCAGCAAATGGGAGAGGTCGCCACCGCCTCGCCCGCCTTCCGTTGTTCTCGTGGTAAGTCGTTTGGTTAGGTGTCATGTTCGCGACGTTGCCGAAGAAGTATGTCGTGTTTCTATCGGGGATCGCACAGACTGCCGTTGGAACTGAGGGATCTTTACACCGTATCATATAATCGTTCTGCCTCGATTTTAAGGATGAGTTGAAGTACGCCTTTACGTAACTGACTGTGGTTGTGGCATCCGTCTTCGGTGGTCCCTGCGACCATCCCACATTCCCGTTGCTCCAATGCGACACCTGTAAGTTTCCGGGAGTAGAAGGCACGCCAGTGCCGTTCATCTCGGTGAGAAGTTGGGCGTCTGCGTAAAAAAGAACTCTGTCCGGCAAAAAGTCGATTCTATACTCGTGGAAATCCGTAGTAGGGTCGAATGGTAAGTGAATTGTCTTGAAGTCCCCCGTCTTAGATGCGTCGAACCCGTGGTCTTTTGACTCCTGAGATTGTAGGACGAGATTAACTGGGAACGAGTTATTGCTCTTGTTGAACTCGGCTGATAAGAACTCTATGTCGATTTCTTGGGTATCATTCATATACTGATATAGACGAGATTAGCGAGTCTTTGGGACATGGAGATGGTCTTAAACAGATAGCTTGTCCATCGAAATTACTACTCACCCAGAAGAAAGCACTACATGTTCCTGGCACATCGGTGACCTTGATACCCGCCCTGAAGGTCCCGTGGTAATATTGAACATCCGTGGTAGCAACGTCGGCGCAGGGAACCATCCCGTTTTTTATTTCGCTTCCAACCACAAGCTTCAAGCCGGCATCACCACCCTTAACCCCAGACCCACTGAATATTTGCTCGTCGGCGATATTATTTGATATTACGTTTTGCGGAGTAAACGCTTGACCGTAAGGCCCTCGCGCGACTTCACTCGACATATCAAACTCCTGCGCCGCCCAACCATATTCTCCATATCCCCGAGTCCTATCCGTGATATCTAGATGAACAAAGTCGCTCTCCAATAAATCGGTGAAAACGTATCGTTTGTCGTCGGAAGGCGTTATTATCGAATATCCGCATTCGCAGTCCGCCAGCACGAGGTTGAAAAATACCAACAGCAAGGCTAAGACGCGAAGAGAAGCCATCGTGTAGCAGAGTATCCTCACGCGCGCTTAGCATTAAAGGAGAACACTTTGTTGGGCTGCCGACAGATCAGGGTGTTGGGGCGGTTGGGGCGGTATTGCGAAGACGAAACAAAGCCTCGCATGCAAAAACTCGAGCAAAGGAGCGAAAGCGCACAAGGGAAAACTGAGCGTATGTAGTCGATTGAGACTTCCTGGCTTCATGTGAGGCAATACTATGTGAGCTTAAGCCAAGAAAATGAGCGACATCCATCCATGGATACGATACGCCTTCACGCCTTCACGTCTTCATGCCTTCTGAAGGTGAGAACATCCCGCCATTTCTGGCAGGGACGATAAGCAGAATCATCGAGGTACCTGGGCTAGAGCATCTCGCCTGTGAAGGATAGATTAGCTCGTACCCTTGTACTCAAAGCAAGGGCTTTCCTTCGGTGATACCTAGGTATGTATGTATGTATGTATGTAAGTATGTCAATGTTATGTACCTAACATACATAGAACGACAAGGGGCTACGTGTGCATATAAAATTACGCTTTCCGAGTATCACGAGTTTGCAAGAATAACCAACGAGAGTTCGGGTGCCTGCAGCGCACAGGTAGAAGAGGGGCGCCGTGGCGTCCACTTAGAGCTTAGATTGGACGATTGCTTGTCTTGGTAAATACCACGATGTGATAAGCTTCTCCTTTTCGCTGATCATCACAGGCATAATCACAGGCATAATCACAGGCAATCATACGATAATCGGTAATAATACCATGTTACATCTAGTTATGTAAATATCCGAAAGTGTGGAGAGAGAAGTGATATATTGAATATCTGACGCGTGTGTAGTTATCTATAACTCGACGAGAACCACTTCCAATCGAACCCGAAAAAGGTGATTAATTCAATCTGTGTACTCGCCTGTGCTTTCCGATTTACCAGACTCAAGTTTCCATCCTGAGATACTCGGCTTGCTAGCTCTATTAACATGACTCGAAGTTAGGAAAGTTGAAAATGAGAAATAAACGTGGAAATAAGAGGAGAAGAACGGAACAACGAAACCAAAAACAGACGATTGCGCAAGGAGAGCATCGGATAGAAAACGACAGCCAGTATGTAGAACAAGGTATCTGACAACAGGCACACATAACAAGAAAAAGAGTAAAAACGTCGAGAAAAAATAGCAGCAGCATTAAAATAAAAATAAGAGTGCCGTAGCTAATAGAACAGAGGGGAAAGGAAGATATCACGAATGGTCCAGCCAGCCAACTGCATCACACATTATATTGCGCGCGTCGCGCTGAGGTTTCCCCTCCCCTTTTCCGCTAGGTCATCGCGAGAGCCTTCCCAATTCCGGGCCCCCCTTTAGACCAGTGACGTAAGATGCAGATGTCGGATGCAAACACTATGAGAAACACAACGACTTCCAGAAACACAACACCCTCGCGCCTGTCCAGACCTTGAAGTTGAAACACACAAGACAGTAACAAAAAGACGAACGTAGGAGGTATATGCCGCGTACACTTCTCCCACACCGCCCCTAATTAGTAGACAAAACACATAAAGAAAATCGTGAGTCTCGTGATAATTTCTAATACACACTCTCCTCGTCACCCCCTTGTGAGATCATAGAGGGCGTCGAGACGTTGGATGATGCTTCAACATCATCCACGTAGCCAACTAGTGCTTGAGAGTGAAGTCGGAAAGCCTCGCCCATAAGTCGGGTAATGCTATAGAATAAAGTTAGCCTCGTATCAAAAAGTAGACATTTGCGTATCAACTTACCCCCAAACAACTACTTCATCGAGCATGGAGCCCCAGAGGTGAGCTACGGTCGAACTTAGCTGTTGCGAGCTCATAGCGCCCTCGGCATCCTTATCGAAGAGACTCCTAACCTTTAGGTACATGGCCATCTCTTCCTCGGAAGCGGCTTCTTCGTCATGTTCCAGACGATACAGCCACAATGTGAGGGTGATCATGAGATCCATGCCACACAGAGGGTGTTCGATGCTCCAGTTGGTCGGAGAGGTACGCGCAACCCAGCGCACGCCTTGGCGGACAGCGGTCTCGATGCAGTTGTAGCACTCGTCGATTACCTTGATCATTTCACTGGAGCGCTTTACTCTGTCGCGTGCGTTTGACATAGCGGCAGCTACTTCGTAGTGATCATGGTACCGGAGCGCTTCTTGGACTGTCTTCAAGTCGACTTCCAGACGAGCACGGGCATTGCGATACATTGCCTTGGCATTGAAGATTAGGGGATGCCCCTTGTGAGGCGCGCTGAGCGGGACCGTATCAGCCTCAGGCTCGCAGAGATCTAGAGATTTCTCCCACGTCTCTAGAGCCATTCGGAGCTTGTACTCAGTCACCACATCTTGGAGAGCCTCAGGGCTACGCTTATGATACCAGACTTCGAGGAACAACGCGTTGATCATAACACGCGTTGCAAAGGCGCTATATTTTAACATGACACCCTGGAAGAGGTTTTCGTGAGCAACCATAAACGTAACTGCAGGCGATCCTTTTAACTGTTCTTGCCAGGCAGCTTCGTCAGTCACCTTAGAATTCCAAAGCGCCTCCTGGGAGGGAAGTTGAAGATCCTCAAACTCGTTGAAGCTAATGGCAGGTGTGTGATTGTATGTTAGAGTGAGCAACCCGAAAAAGATGTAGACAGCATAGTACGTGCGCCGACAACCTTCATCCTCGATCCATTCGTCACGTTTTGGCTGCGCACCCTCACGACCATCTTGCCGAAGCTTCAACTCATAACGATTGCCAGCCACCATATTAGCAAGAAGACTCTTGATAGAACATGCCCATTCTAATCCTTTCGGGTCTCCACTCCAGCTGGCGAAGATCATGTTGAGAAGTGAGCCCTGCATCGTCCATAAAGGACACTTCCGGGAGCTGAAGTTCTCCTTGTTCTGCAAGAATTGGTTGACTAGGACCTTGGAACCAATATGGCACATATAAGCCTGGTCTTGGTCAAAAGCGTAGAGCGCCCCGATTGATAACACTGCAAGCAGCAAGGCAGGAGATACCTGAGTGACATCGAACGATGCAGGATGCAAGAACGGCAAGTGGTGGTGGAAGAGTGTGAAATAAGTCGACAAATACCGATTTAAAGAAGATAGGTTCGGAACACGGAAACCTTCGGGAATTGCGTGTTCGATATCGTTCGCTCGAATATTGTCTAGAATTATATTTCGCTCTTCGTCGTTGTTCACTCGAGGAACGTTGAATCCACCCGAGGTCTGGGGTGGGTTAGTGGATGTGTTCATAAGAAGGGGCGCGTTTGGATTTGATATGTTGAAGGCCGCTGGGCCGGTGCTTAGGAGTGGTGAGTTTGCTACGGATTGTGACGCAGACATGTAGCTGTTATAGCTGGGACCGGGGGACAATGGCGACAAGTTGGGTTGGACCTCAATGGCACTCACATTAGCAAATGGTTGTTGCGACTCGAATGAACCCGATGCGTTCGATGCGACAGACTGGGCTTTGGTATCTATTGTCGACTGGGCAGCAAACGAATCCCAGGGTACGCTATGAGGTAGAGGAACGGCACTGGTAGGGTAAGTAACAGCGGGGTCCATTATGGGAGCGTTATTCGGAGTGTACGCCATTGAAGGACCAGATTCATATGGGCTTCCGTTGTCGCGCATCATGGCCTTATGGTGGAGATCGGCTACTAGCATAGCAGCATGTTCGACGTCGAAGGCACCTTCACTGCTAGCCTCAATCTGCTCACTTAAGGTCGAGGTGTCGATAGCAATGGAAGATTTGGAGGGGCCACCAACAGATCGAGCCTTGGAGACGCCAGCACCGGAGCGGCGCTTTCCATCGCTGTGAAGAGGTACACCTCCATCTTTAGCATGAACGGTTCGGTCGTGACGAAGAAGGAGGTCGCGTCGCACGAAGGTACTTCTACACTTCATACATTTGAAAGGGCGCTCCTTTGTATCTATTCCAATTCAAGTCAGCTTTGGAGAACTCGGGGTAATGCGATTGACTACATCAAATTGAATTGAATTGAATTGAAGCGTTGAGGGGTAGCAATTTCCAATGGGGGGCAAGGGATGGCGTGGGAGGGAGGGGTTTGGGGATTTTAAAGAGATTGGGGGGAAAGGAGAATTCGCGGTACATACGTGATCGCTCGTGTCTGCTACGATGTTCGCTTCTACTAAATGCTCTGTTGCAGAACTGGCACTTATACTTCCTCTCTGGTTGCGCGAGTGAGGTCTTTCGGGGGACCGGAGTTGACGAGGCAGATGTGGGGAGGACTGCCACGCTTGCGCCCGGCATCTTGAATAATGTTTGTCGCGTTGGTTGACAATGGGTGGTTGGGTATTATAAAAAAAGGTTCCAAAGTCAATGGGCTTCTCTCGCTTTAAACAATGATTGCGGTCGATGCTCCGAAAATCGATGTTCTTGAACCTTCACAGGCCGATCGTTGAAATCGCCTAGCTCTCCTCTCTCGCACGCGCGCTCCCGTGGGATTTAAAGTGTGTCTTCTTGACTGGACTGATGATAGTTGGTCATTTGTATCGGTATAAGGAGCATGGAATGGGCTTTGTAATAAGATGGTACGGCCTATGCCGGGGAAATTAATCTCGAAGCACAGACGTGATCGAGATGATGCAGTCGTCTTATATTTGACGACGCGGAAAAAAAAAAGGCTAACGATGCGCGGGTTGCGACCGTTATGAGTGAAAGAGGGGTTCGAGGGGTTGATAGAGGTAGACGGGAGGAAAATGTTGAAGTTTAGGAAATTTAGAAGAAGGAGGGGGGGAAAGGGACGAGGGAGCGAGGAGGGACAATGCCGGGTCAAAATGAGGGAGGGAAAATTGGATGCGCTGTGCGGGAAGTTCTGCTCTTCTTTGCAGCTGCTGCGTTGTGCTGTGCTGTGCTGTGCAAAAGTGGCTAGTGCAGCCAGGGAGGGGGGAAACAGGAGCAGCTGGGTAGGAGGTAGGAGGTAGGTAGGTACCTAAGGTAGTTGGCTATGTACATGTAGAATTGAATTCTTGGAGACAAGACCCCACCTGATTGAGCAAAGCAAAACAGTACGTACCTAACACCGCGTACTGACACGCTAAAATTTAGGCGGCTGGGTACGAGGAGATAGCTGATGATGCTAGACGTTGCTAACGGACGGGACCAAAAGCACGAGCCCCGATAGACTTGCAAGGACCAGTCGGATTGGCAACAAGAATGTG